CATCCTACAGGCAGCACGCTTAGAGCCGTAAACAGCCCGCTGCATGCTACCTAAGTACCACTGTATGTATGTGTAGCTGGGCGTATACATAGAGTGGTACACAGCTGGTGTACAGTGTGCAATTTAACTAACACAAGGAACAAAACAAAACACTATCCCCGAGTACAGGGGTGTAGAGTCAGATTGGACGAACTGGAACCTACCTCCAGGCTACCAAATGCCATGAGTTGAATCCAATGCTTCTGCAGCACATGTGTGTGCGCATAAGCTGGGGTAGCCATGTAGCCTGTTGTCTAGCCATGTGGGAGTGGCGAGCTAACCTTTGCCCACCATCAGGAAGCCTTTTGGTGAAGCATTCCATCAAACGCTGAACCAAAACTCTATTGTGCCATTCCACTTCCTGGTGTTTTCAATGGGCTTTCCTTGGCATATTCTGAGCCATGCTTGTGTGTTTAAGAAAGCGTAGGCACATGAGCCACAAACACACAGTTTAGTTTCTGGGAAGCAAGTCCGGTCGCCCAAAGCCAAATGTCATAAATTTCCTCATATACAGAACCTGCTTAGTTACTACCCTACCAACGGCCCCTATGGGTTAATCCGCAGCTGTTTTGGCTGTTAATCCGTTCTCGTGTACACGACTTTGAGCTGGATGATCCCGGATTACCACGGATCAAAATTTCCGGATTTCCGACTTAACGGGGATCGAAAGGGATTACAATTGATCTGATCCGACTGTGCAAGTGCAGTTGTGCAAGCATGGTAATCCGATTAGAATGGTTCAAGTTGGATTTGCTGGGGTTACTGTAATCCATGTTAAGCCAAAACAATGCACAGGCAGATTAGATTAACGTGGATTACCTAGGAGCCGTTCACGAGTGCTGACGGATTAGATAAAAAGGGATTAGCTGGGAGCCGTGCACGAGTGCTGACGGCTTAGATAAAAAGGGATTAGCTGGGAGCCGTGCACAAGTGCTGACGGCTTAGATAAAAAGGGATTAGCTGGGAGCCATGCACGAGTGCTGACGGCTTAGATAAAAAGGGATTAGATGGGAGCCGTGCACGGGTGCTGACGGCTTAGATAAAAAGGGATTAGATGGGAGCCGTGCACGGGTGCTGACGGCTTAGATAAAAAGGGATTAGCTGGGAGCCGTGCACGAGTGCTGACGGATTAGATAAAAAGGGATTAGCTGGGAGCCGTGCACGAGTGCTGACGGATTAGATAAAAAGGGATTAGCTGGGAGCCCGTGTGCTGACTGATTAGGTAAACAGGGGTCGTCAGGTTAAAAAGGGCCAATGAGGAGCCCAGTTGACGGTTGAATGCTGCTTGGCAGCACCATGACAGAAGGACACAACACGAACTATTGTAACTGTCAACCATTCATTCACAACAAGCAAGAAGTTAGGGCTGTTATGCTCTTCTTTGATTTCGTCATTCTTCAGGTGTTGGCACTACGCCCCAGATGAGGGCCTGCCCAGTTAACATCCAAAACAAGTAGAGGAATATATATGCCGTATGACAGGTTAGCTCCTTCACTCTGCCACCAAGCAACTCCAAAGCCAATTACTGAGTCTCCAACATGAAGCAACATGTGTGTTGGTAAAAACGGGTGTCCTAACGTAATGCTATGCGGTAATGCAACTGAACACAACACGCTCCCCCACGCTATGCCCTATGCACCTGGGCCGAATTGTCATTTCGACGGCATGATGTGAAACACATAGGTACAGTCTGTTTAACGCAAAGCATCCATCTGCGACGCACATGGTCACAACAGGCAATACGCTGTCTCGTTGGTCCAGATGCCTTCCCCATGCCATGCACCGGTGTGCTTCCTTTGTGCATCTCAGAGTCGTATTATGATCCTCACTATGTGGCCATCCGTCCAGGGAGTAAAGGGGTAAAACCAAGGACGCTGTACGCCACACAAGCCTACGCATTCTACTACTTCCCCTCAACAGCGCGTGCCTGCCGCTTCTGCGCTAGGCACGTCTTGATGGTGGCGATGTCCTTCTCGCGAGTCCCATAGAAAGTCATGGACACCGTTATGCCGGTGCTACCATTGAATGTGGGCAGGATGCCCATGACAGGCCACTTGACCTGCATGACACGGTAAGGACAAGATAAGATGAAAGTTAGGCAATTGCTTGCAATAAGACCTAAATGGATTGCTCGGTTCTTGGGTTGGAAGACAACAGTTGCGAAGAGATTGAAGGGTGAGCACTGGCGGGTTATTTTAACACACACCCTGGGTCCTAGGACGTCAACGATACCCCCTACAGCTTACCGTCTGGGACCTTACAAGCTTGCGTACCAGCTTGCCGTCTTTGTCCTTCTCCTCCAGCGCAAAGGTGCTAGTCTTGCCGCCCACATTGGACGGCATGTAAGCGTTCTTGGTGCGCTTGACGTTAGTGTTGATGCCAAAGACCAGGACGTCAACGGTAGCCGCCGGGTCGGTCTTGGCGTCCTAACACGTCAGTGCGGGAACATACGATCGAACAAACCTTGGTTTTGCGCATGGGGTTGCCAGGACAGAAGGTATGCGACTGTTGCAAGAGATGAGCTCAAGGGGGTGCAGCATACTTGCGGCACCAGCCATAACGTAACGACACAGATGTAAAAGCCCAGCAAGGCTACTTACCAGTGGGTCCAGCAGCAGGCCGCAGCCAAGTGTTACCGGAACCAACTCGTCCTTGTCCAGGCTTCCCACAAGGATGCACCCTGCGTTGTCCCCTATGTCGAAGTCCGCCAGCCAGTCGAGGTGGTTGTCAGCCGCAGCGTACTTCTCCGTGTCCCCTCCAGGCAGCTTAGCCCACATGTACGGCTTGGGCACCTCGGGCGTGGCTGGCTCCTCCTCCTCACCCGGTGCTGATGGTGATGCCGGCTGCAGGCCTTCCTCCTCATCGACCGTGTCCAGGTTCACGTCTTCTATAACGGGAGGGATGGAAGGAGACATGGGTTCGGCAAGGGCGGGGAAACAACGTGTAACAACGTAAAACAGGCCGCAATAAGGCGTGTGTGTCATGAAAGGCAAAACCCGCTTAAAGGTAGGACATATGCCCCTTGATTTCCCTTGCAAAACTCACTTGGCTTGCTGCATCGGCGCATGTTCTTAGCCTTCACTTGCACCGCCTGCCGCAGCCTGGCCTTCACTGTCTCCATGGGCGCACCTTGCCCCACGCCCAGCAGGCACCGGATGTGCTCCCCCATGTCTTTGATGATCTTCAAGTCGTTTGCCTCCATCACCGAGGGCTGTGTGTGCGGGGGGGGGGGCAGCGTGTAACAAAGTTGCCACATGGTAAAGGTCGGCAATCCAAACGTACAACCACAGCGCTTTTATGTTGCAGGTGTTAATGAGTGAAGCCACAGGAAAGGTCCGTACAGCCCTCCCAAATCGTAACTTACCTCCAGGCTCTTGAAGGCCTCCCGGCTCGCCAACACAGCCTGCCCGTACACGCTCTCAATCTTCTTGGTCACCTTCTCGCTGGTACGTTTTCCCTGCCGCTGGTTAGCAGAGGACGACCCAAGGGAGGGGCCGCCTGGTGTTGGCAACGAGCCCGACTTTCGTGATTTGGGTGCCTCGAGCAGCTTCGCTGCCTCCTTCGCCGCCTTCGCCGCCTCCTCCATCGCCTTCTCCACCTTCTTCACATCGAAAAGCGACATGCCTACCTATGGGGCCATACATGGGAAGCAGGAGAGGGAATGGTCGGAACTAACAGTCATTACAAGAAAAATAACCCACGGGTCATTCCTACTTGCTATCTATCCATGCACGGATTAATATATCTATAGAACGGAGCATCCTCCTACATACTTAGCATCTCACCTGCGTGAGGCGCTCTTGTATCACCGCATCAAACATAGTCGTGAAGGCGCATGGCATCTTCAGGTCTTGAGCGGTAATGCCCTCGACAGTCATAATCCGCGAGTTCTTGTACCACCGCAAGAAGGACTCGCGCTGATCCATTCTAATGCCGATGACCTGGAACAACGCCAGCCTGTGAAGCAGCTCGCCGGGTCCATCCTCGAGATTCCATCCTTGACCGGTTGCCCAGCCCTCCTGCTCATCCGACCACAGCTCAGGTGCCTCGTCGCCGTCCGTTACCTGAAAGTTACATGCTATTTTCAACGAAATGTGGCTGATTATGAACGAATTGCCACGGTCAAACGAGGTCAATTGCTTACCGTCCCGTTCTTCTCCTCCTCAGAATCCAGGCTTACAGCAGCCTCATTCTCCTCATCTTCGTCGCTAACTTCCTGGTCGTTGCCTGGCTGGGGTCGCCCCTCCAGACGGGAAGACTTGCGGAGTGGCGGACCTTTAGTGCTTTGTTGCCGCTTCTTGCCCGACACTGGCCTAAGTTTAGCCGCAGCATCCTTGAACTCCTTGCAGGCATTTCCTAAGCCAATCTCGTCCAGAATGGCATTGTTCCTAGCCATGGTCGCTTCACGCTCCGCGTCCAGGTCAGAGGGGCCCATTCGCTACACAATTGGCCTACACGTTCTTGTATTGTAAGTCTAATCGAATGTTTCTATAACAATCGGCGAGCACAAGTTCAGGAATTGCCAAAGGCATCATAGCCATTACAGTACGGAGTGGTTGAAGGGAAGGCTTCAAGTAAGCAACGAGGTCCACTAAGCCCCCATTAAGCATATCAGAGGTTACATCTGATGTTTCTATTTACTGCCAAACTGATCTTGACTTACAATCTTGTGCACAGCACGGAAGGATGCAATCCGGCACACCCTGTTACAGACAGTATGCTCAGTGTGGCGCATTTGCATACGAAAGCCTCTGAAATGCTCAGCAGCTGCTGGTTAATACAGCATAGTCATAGTTTTCATGGCGCTGTTCGTGGAGTGCGCGCTCCCGGCTTTCAACAGTGACCATTGCGGTCGCACTGCAGTCTGCTAATCAGCGCAATTAAGGCCTTGCCATAGGCAAATCGAATGCTGTCAGTGTAACAAACTACATTGGTATTGGGTTTGCAACCGTCTGGAACACACCGCATTGACATAACACACTAGCCGGTGCATACTCGCAGCCCTCACTCATGGCCCCCGCCCGCCTAATCCCCGAACTCACATGCGCCTTTGTGCACGACGCGTCTGCATGACACCCTCAGCGCACGTCAGGCAAAGCATGTTGTTCGTATGGCTTAGTGCGAACATTTTAAAATGTAGACCTAGGTATACGACGCCGTATTACCGAGGGAAACACACGCGCAAGCTTTAGCAATAAAACCCAGCAGTTACAATTCAGCCCTAAAGCCTTGAGGACTCCACCCTTCCAGTCCGTACGGCAAGCAGTCCCCTCCCATCACAACGCAAAACGCTGCCAGCATTCTTGCAGCAAACACACGCGCACGCTTTAGCAATAAAACCCAGCAGTTACAATTCAGCCCTAAAGCCTTGAGGATTCCACCCTTCCAGTCCGACTCCACCCTTCCAGTCCGTACGGCGAGCAGTCCCCTCCCATCACAACGCAAACGCTGCCAGCATTCTTAAAGGAAAAGCAGTCACCCGGTGAAAAGCTAAGCCTGCAGCCCCCTAGCTGGCTGCAGCCTTGAGAACGCCACCTTTCCGGTCCGTACAGCAGTCCCCTCCCATCCCAACGCACCCGCTGCCAATCGGATGCAGCAGGCACCCGGAGTAAAGCTAAGCCTAAGACTGCGTCTGTACATCCCAAACAACACCCACACAATTACCTACAAGCGATTGTGCTGTCCACGGGGCCCTTTGACAGTGCAAAGTACCTACACCCCTCACTTTGATTGGACATGCCTCATGATCTCTGGAATGGCCTTTGCAAGTACAGCCTCTATCGCCATGTAGTCTTCAGGGCTATAGCCCCACAGCCCGTGGTGCACCACCAGGCGTTGCACTCCAAAGTAATGCACCAAACGCCGGGGGTTGAGAGTATCCCAGGCAAGCTTCAGGCAGGCCTGCACGTTTTCCACCTGATGTATCCATCCTGCCGGCACGTGCACGACATCACCATGGTACTGCTCAATCACCACCACGTTATTCTCCCCTAGAGCCGCCCTCAACTCGTTCACGTCACGCACGAATGGCCGGAACACGTTCGCACTGCCCCCATCCACAAGAGGCCCACCGTGAAATGCATTGCGGGAGCCATCAGGTGACAGCCGTTTCTCCTTCAAGGTTGCTGCAGCCAGTAGTTCCCACTCGACGACACTGCTGTCCTTCTTGTCCTTCTTTGCGCTTTTGTCGACGCCGGGCAATGCAGGGTGCTTGCTGAGGAAATCACCAAACGCCCCAATGGCACTTGGGCGTACAAATGTCCACAGCGCGCACGGCTTTGACGCATCCACGTCCTCCCGCTCAGGGGCGAACAACACGTTGAACGCCTCCGTGCGGTCCATGTGGCACGCCGTTCCCGTACCTGTACGGGGCAAAGGACACCACTTAAGCCATGATGCTTGCGGAGTGTGTACCACGAACTGTGAAACGCGCCCTCCATGCAGATTGGCAAGCCTGCTGGCCTCCATTGGCCCCTAAACCTCGTTTCGTACCCACATCCATGGTGACTTGCCTTTCGCCCCACACAGCACCAGGGTGCTGTCCCGCAAATTGACGTTGGATGACGTGCCCAAGAAGTCCCCGGGGTTGACTGCCGCAACCCGGATGTCGTAAAGCCAGGAGCTAGAGCCGCTGGGGACCTGCATAGGAACGGCCGGTAGTTATAGGGAGACATACCTGCACACTTGGCGGTGGTATCGGCTGTTGCGAACAGCACAGCAATCAGAAAAGAAGGCGAAACTGGCATGGGGTATATACGGCAGTGCTTCACCACTAAAGCTAGCTCCTCATCCATTGATGTGGTAACAAGTCATTGGTCCATCCGGCCACTCACGTTCAGATTGACAAGGCGGTATGACTTGTTCTTGGGTGCGAACACTGCTGCAACGCAGTTCTCCACACTTGTAAGACCTGTGCAGGCATGGTTGCGCCCAAGCTCTGCCGTAAGCCAGTCCTGCATGCACGAATACCACGGCCAGCTTCACATAGAGCAAGGCTACAAGTAGTTGCATCCATGTCACCCTACGGCTCTTCTTCCCTGTGTCCATGATAGATACCAAGTAACAATCAAGCGCCGCTGTGCACCCACCCGCCCTGCTCTGTGTTTGGGATGGCCAAGCACTTGCCTTAGTAACCAGCGGCGGCCTCCCTGTCTGCACGTCGAAGGGCGGGTCGAGGCGGTCAAGCTGACCACTGGGCAGCTGTTGTGTGAGTGTCGTCTTGTACGGGTTGGTTGAGCTCGAAGGTATGTATGGTGGCATGCCCTCGACGTGCAGCCAATTTACGAGCTTGTAGGCTTGTTGGCACGTCTCCATCTCTGCAGCCATAGTTGGCGACGGTTTGGTGAAATGCTGGCAGGATACCCATGCAGCAAGCCCTTGCCCTTCCCTGTCCCCAACGTGCCGGACGGAGGTTATCCAATCCCCAACGTGCCGGACGGAGCTCCCTTTGGGCAACCTCCCATTCAGATTAAAGCGTCCCCTAAAAAGAGGCAGACGACACGCAATATGCCCACATTCCCTGTACCCCCTGTAGGCTACATCCTCGCATTTGAGCCCTTACTAGGACGACTTACCAAGAAGGCGGTAGAGCTTTGCAGAGTCCATGTGGCGCGGAGGCAGGCAACCACGGGTGCAGTAGAACTCAGGGAAAGACTCCTTTAACTTGCTTGCTTCACCTGTAGGGGTCGCCGTTTTTTGCAGGGCAATGCGGTAGGCAACCTCAGTAGTGATTTAGGTGCAGCTCGCAGGCACGAAAAATAGATACTTTCTCAGCCACGAGCTTTTCTGTCATGACCATCCGTGCTGGATGGGGTCTAAGAGCATGAACAACCACGCAGGCACGCCCCATAACGCGGAGATCAGGGGTTCACATTGACGTGTCCTCATGCCCCAGGTAACATATGCATCCGTCTTTGCGACTATGATAAGGGCCAGGGCCATGCATCAGCGGCTTACCGGCAGGAAGCACCCCATAAGCAGTGAAGTTCAGGAGACTATGGCAGGTTTGGCATGTAAACGTGGTATTGCCCCCGGCTGAATTGGTGTAGCTCGTTGCGGAGGGAACGTTCATCAAGCCCAAGGTGCCCTCACGCCCGCCAAGGTACCAGGCAGCTGCAGTGGCGACAGCCACCGCATCCTGCTTCAGGCTATCAGCCGCTGCCTGGTCCACGTCGGATACCTCCTTCCGGAGTGTATGGACATGCGCCTGGAGGGTGTTCTCGGCGACCATCCTGCGGAGGTGGCTGAGGGGATCATCTACCGTATACGGTGGTAGCAACGGACCCGGCGTGTGGCATGGCAGTCCCAGCTCGTCCAGCACAGCGCTGGACATCCTGTGAAGAGCCAAAAGGGCCAGGTGATGTTCTCACGGTTAGGTATGGATGGGAAAGCGTTGTGATCGTAAGGAATGTGACTGAGACATGCTTAAGGGAGATGACGGGGCAGGTATTGACCAGCCCCAGCTCTCATTCGCCACATGCATGTGTATCCCTGCCTCGACCAGCCGTCCCTGACCCATTCCGTGTGCCGCAGTACCTTCCAGCCAGTCTCACCTGTCATGTGCGCCCGCCAGCTGCTGCGTGTTTGGGTACTTCTCCGCAATGGCTTCCATCAAGCTGTTGAAGTACTCCTCGTACTTGGAAGGGGTCCCCTTCCCCTTCCAAGCGGGGTCTGTCAGGGTTGCAAGTTGTAGGGAGCAGTGTTAAACTGTAACCTAATGATACACCGCAACATACAAACCCTCACCGTTCATAAAGTCGACAAGGTCTGCATACATCAAGGCGGCGTACTCGGGAGACAGGTACTCTACCAGGGCCGAGGCGTCGAACCCATGGTGAATCTTGAAATGCGCCGCAAGGCAGGCATTTGAGCAAAACGGGGTTTTAGTTCCAACCCGGCTCCACTGCTCACGGCAGGCTTCATGCGGGCAAAGGTAACATGGCGGGCAGGATGTCTGGCCGCCCTTTGTGCCCTGGCATGTGCCGTGGAGCGTAAGAGCAGGCTTCTTGGCATTTTCAGCATTGCCGCTATGGAAGCTATCACACGTTTTGGTATTCTGACATAATGCTTTAAACCCGTGTCTCAGGAAAAGAGTATGTTTGGGCGCTGCGATAAGCGCTGCCATCAATGCTGAATGAGTTGAGGTAATCAAGTGAGTGAAAGATGCTGGCAAGCAGCCCGAAAGGAGGTTGGACGACTGTTGAGACGACGAACGTGTAAACAAGCCTGGTATGCAGCTTTATACTCAATGTTACAAAGATGGGAATCATCCTAATGAGCCAAGGAGAGCAGCTGATGTGGTTCAATATGGTGGAAAGTAACCTTGTACGGAAAGCGCTTTATCCGAACAAGACGTGTCCTGTGGACTTGGAATCTTTAATTGTGTGAGGGCCCTGAATGAGCGCCTGAACAACTAGGAGTACGTGGAAGGATCGAGAACAAGGCATGTGGAGTGCGCACTCCATCCAGGCTTTTGGCACCCTATTTAGAGGCGCCAACAATGTTTAGCCAAACAAAACTTCAACCAGCAAACGAGCGGGGCTTTAGTGACAGGAATTCCCTCAGGGTTCTGTAAAATTGGACAGTCCGGCATGCTACCCCCGATGAGAAGGCTACCAATGAACTCAACACGGCCTCGCACATAGCGACTATGCTACATGCCGATACAGCCCACCTGTCGGAGCGCCCCCTGTAGAAGCACAAGTGTTCACATCCTCGGAACCCTCGACTGTGTATCACATTGCACGCAAGGCTGCCATACCCGTCGCAACAAGCAAAGCGTAGGTGGACAGCAACAACAGAGAGCCATAACATATAAACGGCACGAAACACAATGTGCTTGGAGGGCTGGAAAGGAGCCTGCTGGTCATCAATCGACCAAAGCCACAGGCCTGGAAAACCATAACTAAGTCACAACGGCAACTTCCACATGCTTGCCCTCCCGTCACGTTATCATACGCTGCCTTTACCACCGCAAATGCACAGGCCCCGTACCCAACATGGAAGTAAAAAGCTGCAGAGATGCATGTCAACGACCCCCGCCCCGGTATGTCCCATGGGCCACCGTCGACAAAAGTGCCCAGCAGTGGCTCTGCTCCTGTACTATCCAAACTGCGCAGCAAAGGCGTCACCATACACGATAAGGTGCGTGGTCTCGTTCTCCTTCTGGCCGTCCAGGAAGTACCAGTGTAGACGGAGTGAAGGGTAGTCGTCCATACCGCAGTCACCCGCATGCACTGTATGGCCATCTAGGAAGATGATGTCGCCAGCGTCAAGCTCTACCCTAACTGCTTTGAACTTGCGCATCTGGACCCACGCCAGCAAGTCCTCCTCCGTAATCACGCCGCTGTCAACGAGCTCCTCCAGCTGCCAATACCGTGCCAGCACGCGGTTGCTGTCTGGGTACAGCAGGAGCCGCATCTTCTGCACCGCCGCTATTACAACACCGCCCGTTTGCCCTTTAGCCAGGTCCGTGTGGTTGCCCTGTCGTGCCACAGGCTTTTGCCTCTCGGATTGGGTATTTAGCAGGATGCTGGGAGGGTAGAGCTTGAGGTTGGCATCACCCATTCCTGCCATAGCCTCCTTGATCTTGGGCTCCACCAGACCTGGCAACGTGCAAAGGGAATGATGAAAAGGGTGTGAGCCAATACGAAGTGCGACTCGAGGATACAGCAACTCAAGAAGTCTGGACGGTAGGCTAAGATGTTCCAGCAAACTATTTACCCGCACATGCATACAAACCACGGGTTTTCCCATGCATAGCACGGGTTTCCCCATGCCTACCGCGGAAATCTGCCAGCACATCGGCATCGTCAGGGTTGTCAGGGTCGATAGGGCACTGCTGCCGCTGTCGAGATCCGTACGTGGACATCAGATAGCCAGTGGGTTTCCCCTTGTGGTCGCGCTCCGGCACGAACTCCCCATTCCGCTTTTGCGCAATGCCCTGGAAGATGGCTTCAGACTTTCTCCCGTGTTGCAATGCTCGCTCAACTGCTTCAGGGGTGACTGTCTTGCAGATGTCCGAGTCATGGAGGATGGCACCGCCAGAATCGTTAATGGCTTTTGGGACAGCAGCGGGGGAGTCGACGGTGAATACCAGCTTGCTAATGGTCGTGATCTGAGTGGTGCGGCAAGGAAAAGGGCCCAAAGGTCAAGGGTTCTCTTTTGCATCATGGAGCTGCACCAACCCCCCCCCCTATTCCCTAAGCAAGCAAGATTCCAAAATACATATACGAGTTAATAGCTAATCGTCTCATTAGTGCACAGATGCCCAACTGCATATCACACACCTCCTCAACCTCGTCGAGAGCCTCCTCCATTGCGGTGTCAACAGAAGGGCCTTTTGCCGGAACACATTGCCGCTTAGCCTTCTTGTTATGCGGACGGCCGCCATGGTAGCGCAAACCCCCGCCTTGGAGTTTGTGCTCGGTCCCCTGTAGGTACAACCGTGTACGTGTGAGAGTTGCCAACACGCAAACAGTATGGGAAAGCCTCCTATGACAACACCCCTTACCGGTGACAGCATAGGTACAGGCCGCTTGCAGCCGCCAAAAGCGGCAGCTGAACGAGGGGAGGCCTGCGCCCGGTAGGAGCGGGAGGCGGTAGTTGCAGGGGCGGTGGGGAAGGGAGCGTGACGCGGGAGAACGCAGGGACACGAGCAGGTGGGGAAGGGAGCGTGTAATCCTTGCAGGGGCGGATGGGTGAGGGCGCGTGCAGTGAGCAACAGAGGTGGGAGACGGAGAGTTCGGCCAGTGTTGGGGACATACGATTCAGCCCAGCATGCTACAATACAGGTAAGGGACGTGCGGCAATCAGAGGAACGGAGGCGTATGGCACCGGTCAACGCAGAGCTACCCGTTTATCTGACGCAGGCAAAAGGAGCTGCCCCGAAATGCCCAACGTCGAGCCACCGTCAAGTGCTGCATGCATGCGAGGCTGGCATGCTTACCTCTGAGCGGGGACTCCTGGCCGACGAGTTGCCTGCACCGCCCTGAGGACTGCCGCTAAGGAGTCCATCGGCGCGAGGGGAGGCCTGCGGGGGGCAAGGAACGCGGGACAGGGGCGGGTGGAGAAGGGAGCGTGCAATCCTGTTGATAGCAAGCAAAAGGAGCTGCCCCGAAATCCCCAACGTCGAGCCACCGTCAAATGCTGCATGCATGCGAGGCTGGCATGCTTACCTCTGAGCGGGGACTCCTGGCCGACGAGTTGCCTGCACCGCCCTGCGAACGGCCACTAAGGAGTCCATCCGCGCGAGGGGGGGCCTGCTGGTGCTGTAGTTATGGGGGGCAAGGAACGCGGGACAGGGGCGGGTGGAGAAGGAAGCGTGCAATCCTGTTGACAGCACGCAAAAGGAGCTGCCTCGAAATGCCCAACGTCGGGCCACCGTCAAATGCTGCATGCATGCGAGGCTGGCATGCTTACCTCCGAGCGGGGACTCCTGGCCGACGAGTTGCCTGCACCGCCCTGCGAACGGCCACTAAGGAGTCCATCCGCGCGAGGGGGGGCCTGCTGGTGCGGTAGTTGTGGGGGGCAAGGAACGCGGGACAGGGGCGGGTGGAGAAGGGAGCGTGCAATCCTGTTGACAGCACGCAAAAGGAGCTGCCTCGAAATGCCCAACGTCGGGCCACCGTCAAGTGCTGCATGCGTGCGAGGCTGGCATGCTTACCTCTGAGCGGGGACTCCTTGCCGACGAGTTGCCTGCACCGCCCTGCGAACGGCCACTAAGGAGTCCACCCGCGCGAGGGGAGGCCTGCGGGGGGCAAGGAACACGGGACAGGGGCGGGTGGAGAAGGGAGCGTGCAATCCTGTTGACAGCAAGCAAAAGGAGCTGCCCCGAAATGCCCAACGTCGAGCCACCGTCAAATGCTGCATGCATGCGAGGCTGGCATGCTTACCTCTGAGCGGGGACTCCTGGCCGACGAGTTGCCTGCACCGCCCTGCGAACGGCCACTAAGGAGTCCATCCGCGCGAGGGGAGGCCTGCTGGTGCTGTAGTTGTGGGGGGCAAGGAACGCGGGACAGGGGCGGGTGGAGAAGGAAGCGTGCAATCCTGTTGACAGCACGCAAAAGGAGCTGCCTCGAAATGCCCAACGTCGGGCCACCGTCAAATGCTGCATGCATGCGAGGCTGGCATGCTTACCTCCGAGCGGGGACTCCTGGCCGACGAGTTGCCTGCACCGCCCTGCGAACGGCCACTAAGGAGTCCATCCGCGCGAGGGGGGGCCTGCTGGTGCGGTAGTTGTGGGGGGCAAGGAACGCGGGACAGGGGCGGGTGGAGAAGGGAGCGTGCAATCCTGTTGACAGCACGCAAAAGGAGCTGCCTCGAAATGCCCAACGTCGGGCCACCGTCAAGTGCTGCATGCGTGCGAGGCTGGCATGCTTACCTCTGAGCGGGGACTCCTTGCCGACGAGTTGCCTGCACCGCCCTGCGAACGGCCACTAAGGAGTCCACCCGCGCGAGGGGAGGCCTGCGGGGGGCAAGGAACACGGGACAGGGGCGGGTGGAGAAGGGAGCGTGCAATCCTGTTGACAGCAAGCAAAAGGAGCTGCCCCGAAATGCCCAACGTCGAGCCACCGTCAAATGCTGCATGCATGCGAGGCTGGCATGCTTACCTCTGAGCGGGGACTCCTGGCCGACGAGTTGCCTGCACCGCCCTGCGAACGGCCACTAAGGAGTCCATCCGCGCGAGGGGAGGCCTGCGGGGGTCAAGGAACGCAGGACAGGGGCGGGTGGAGAAGGGAGCGCGTAATCCGTGCAGGGGCGGATGGGTGAGGTCGCTTGAAAACCTTGCAGGGGCGGATGGGTGAGGGCGCGTGCAGTGAGCAACCGTATGGCACCGGTCAACGCAGAGCTACCCGTTTATCTGACGCAGGCAAAAGGAGCTGCCCCGAAATGCCCAGCGTCGAGCCACCGTCAAGTGCTGCATGCATGCGAGGCTGGCATGCTTACCTCTGAGCGGGGACTCCTTGCCGACGAGTTGCCTGCACCGCCCTGCGAACGGCCACTAAGGAGTCCACCCGCGCGAGGGGAGGCCTGCGGGGGGCAAGGAACACGGGACAGGGGCGGGTGGAGAAGGGAGCGTGCAATCCTGTTGACAGCAAGCAAAAGGAGCTGCCCCGAAATCCCCAACGTCGAGCCACCGTCAAATGCTGCATGCATGCGAGGCTGGCATGCTTACCTCTGAGCGGGGACTCCTGGCCGACGAGTTGCCTGCACCGCCCTGCGAACGGCCACTAAGGAGTCCACCCGCGCGAGGGGAGGCCTGCGGGGGTCAAGGAACGCAGGACAGGGGCGGGTGGAGAAGGGAGCATGTAATCCTGTTGACAGCACACAAAAGGAGCTGCCTCGAAATGCCCAACGTCGGGCCACCGTCAAGTGCTGCATGCATGCGAGGCTGGCATGCTTACCTCTGAGCGGGGACTCCTGGCCGACGAGTTGCCTGCACCGCCCTGAGGACTGCCGCTAAGGAGTCCATCTGCGCGAGGGGAGGCCTGCGGGGGGCAAGGAACGCGGGACAGGGGCGGGTGGAGAAGGGAGCACGTAATCCGTGCAGGGGCGGATGGGTGAGGTCGCTTGAAAACCTTGCAGGGGCGGATGGGTGAGGGCGCGTGCAGTGAGCAACCGTATGGCACCGGTCAACGCAGAGCTACCCGTTTATCTGACGCAGGCAAAAGGAGCTGCCCCGAAATGCCCAACGTCGAGCCACCGTCAAGTGCTGCATGCATGCGAGGCTGGCATGCTTACCTCTGAGCGGGGACTCCTGGCCGACGAGTTGCCTGCACCGCCCTGAGGACTGCCGCTAAGGAGTCCATCTGCGCGAGGGGAGGCCTGCGGGGGGCAAGGAACGCGGGACAGGGGCGGGTGGAGAAGGGAGCGCGTAATCCGTGCAGGGGCGGATGGGTGAGGTCGCTTGAAAACCTTGCAGGGGCGGATGGGTGAGGGCGCGTGCAGTGAGCAACCGTATGGCACCGGTCAACGCAGAGCTACCCGTTTATCTGACGCAGGCAAAAGGAGCTGCCCCGAAATGCCCAACGTCGAGCCACCGTCAAGTGCTGCATGCATGCGAGGCTGGCATGCTTACCTTTGAGCGGGGACTCCTTGCCGACGAGTTGCCTGCACCGCCCTGCGAACGGCCACTAAGGAGTCCACCCGCGCGAGGGGAGGCCTGCGGGGGGCAAGGAACACGGGACAGGGGCGGGTGGAGAAGGGAGCGTGCAATCCTGTTGACAGCAAGCAAAAGGAGCTGCCCCGAAATGCCCAACGTCGAGCCACCGTCAAGTGCTGCATGCATGCGAGGCTGGCATGCTTACCTCTGAGCGGGGACTCCTGGCCGACGAGTTGCCTGCACCGCCCTGCGAACGGCCACTAAGGAGTCCATCCGCGCGAGGGGAGGCCTGCGGGGGTCAAGGAACGCAGGACAGGGGCGGGTGGAGAAGGGAGCATGTAATCCTGTTGACAGCACACAAAAGGAGCTGCCTCGAAATGCCCTACGTCGGGCCACCGTCAAGTGCTGCATGCATGCGAGGCTGGCATGCTTACCTCTGAGCGGGGACTCCTGGCCGACGAGTTGCCTGCACCGCCCTGAGGACTGCCGCTAAGGAGTCCATCTGCGCGAGGGGAGGCCTGCGGGGGGCAAGGAACGCGGGACAGGGGCGGGTGGAGAAGGGAGCGCGTAATCCGTGCAGGGGCGGATGGGTGAGGTCGCTTGAAAACCTTGCAGGGGCGGATGGGTGAGGGCGCGCGCGGTGAGCAATGGAAGTGGGAGACGGAGAGTTCGGCCAGTGCTAACGACATACGATTTAGCCCAGCATGCTACAGTACAGGTAAGAGACGTGCGGCAATCAGAGGAACGGAGGCGTATGGCACCGGTCAACGCAGAGCTACCCGTTTATCTGACGCAGGCAAAAGGAGCTGCCCGGAAATGTCCAACGTTGAGCCACCGTCAACTGGCATGCTTACCTCTGAGCGGGGACTCCTTGCCGTCGAGTTGCCTGCACCGCCCTGAGGACTGCCGCTGAGAAGTCCATTCGCGCGAGGGGAGGCCTGCGGGGGGAAAGGAACACGGGACAGGGGCGGGTGGAGAAGGGAGCACGCAAAAGGAGCTGCCTCGAAATGCCCAACGTCGGGCCACCGTCAAGTGCTGCATGCGTGCGAGGCTGGCATGCTTACCTCTGAGCGGGGACTCCTTGCCGACGAGTTGCCTGCACCGCCCTGCGAACGGCCACTAAGGAGTCCACCCGCGCGAGGGGAGGCCTGCGGGGGGCAAGGAACACGGGACAGGGGCGGGTGGAGAAGGGAGCGTGCAATCCTGTTGACAGCAAGCAAAAGGAGCTGCCCCGAAATCCCCAACGTCGAGCCACCGTCAAATGCTGCATGCATGCGAGGCTGGCATGCTTACCTCTGAGCGGGGACTCCTTGCCGTCGAGTTGCCTGCACCGCCCTGAGGACTGCCGCTGAGAAGTCCATCCGCGCGAGGGGAGGCCTGCGGGGGGAAAGGAACGCGGGACAGGGGCGGGTGGAGAAGGGAGCGTGCAATCCTGTTGACAGCACGCAAAATGAGCTGCCTCGAAATGCCCAACGTCGGGCCACCGTCAAGTGCTGCATGCAACGCCGGCATGCTGACCTCTGAGCGGGGACTCCTGGCGGACGAGTTGCCTGCAACGCCTTTTCGACGGCTTCTAATGAGTCCAGCCAGGCGAGGGTAGGCCTGCGGCTGCGGAAGTGGCGAGGGGCAAGGAACCTGGGACAGGGGTGAGGTGGTGTAGAGCGTGTGTAGTGAGCAACAGAGGTGGGAGACTGAGGGTTCGGCCAGTGTTGGGGACATGCGGTGCAGCCCGTGCATGCGACACAACAGGCAACGGGCCTGTTGCAGATGCACGCCGATATGCGCACGCTTCTTAGCTTGCGGTCTGAATGGCCGTGCAGCGGCTGCACTCACCTCCCAGCTGGGACTTCTGGTGAGTGGCGAGGCCTCCCTATCGCCAAGGCGTTCTTCATCTGGCTCCATCTCAAATAAGCTCATTTACCGCTGGCCCTGGAGATCAGCCCCCCAGTCTCCCTCGGCGGAGCCTTGTGCTTCCTGAGAGGGATGTATAGCATGTCATACACCATTTACCCAAAATATTATCTTGCCGGCAGGGCTGTCAGTGTTCATTCTTCAACGCACCCACCTCACTTAACAGTACAGGGCTTGTGCAGCGGCTTAGGCCAGCTGTACGTTGGCTGGGGCTTGCCTCACTGGCCAAGGTGTTGTGCCCCGAGGCTTGCCAAGGCACCAATCGTGTGGAGGGTGCAGCCGCTGCAACGTGCATACTGCTGGAGGCACCACCCAGTGAGCCTAGGCCAGTTTGCGCCTGAAGAGTGCGCGAAGCTGTGGGAATAAAACGCCTATTCTGAACACTGCTGACTGCCTGAGCTGTCTGGCTGCCTGCTGCAAAAGCATTCTCCAGCTCCTGGTAGGCATACACTTGTGAGCCTGGTGCTTTGCATGCATGTCTTGGACTCTGGTGCTACCACTCACCTTCTTTTTCTTGAGCCAGGGTTTCTGTAGCCAGAAATAGCCACCTGCAGTGCCTATCTCATGACCCCTTGGACGTGTCACCTCCGCAAGGTAGGTTACGTAGTTCAGCTGAGCTGATGGGGAGTAAATTCCTTTGTCTTCCAAACATTTTTGCACAAACACGTCTGCGCCCTTGTGGAGAACGGATCTAAAGGAATCGAGGTTGCTGATTTGGGACCCTAGGAGCTCCACCAAGGAGCATTCCTGTGAAAGAAGACGTTAGCATCCCTATTGTCGCATCGACCAACGTTTTCGTGTCCACAGCTTACCTCAAAGCCCTTCTTTTTAAATTTTAGATTGTATAGAGTGCTTGGGCTGGCATTGCCGGGGACATCTGCCTGCCAGCCTTCAAATTGGAGAGTCGTTCCCCTCCTCTGGCTTGATATAAAGACAGCCGTCCGATATAGCTCGACGCAAACCAAGGACTTTGCTTTAATGTAGTCGTTTAACCTATCCTGAGCGTTGACAGCGGCCTTCCGTGAACGAGTAACACAAACTTCAAACGACGTTGGAAGACAATCCATGCCTACTTCCTAAACAGCTCTTATATGCGTATAGGTTACTGAAATGGCTCACATGCTACAGGAAAACAGCTGGTCAAGTTCCGTAGGGTGTGCACAACGAATCCTATGAAGTCAACTATTTATGTGTGAATGAATCACCTTTATCTTTACACCTTTATCTTGAGGATGTTTGATAAGAGAGCCACATCCCTTGGTGGAGCGTGTACGGCGTAGCTCAAGCTACGCCGTACATCCGAACCGAGAACGCAAGAACAACAGGCTCTCTGTCTAATTATGGCCGATTGCTGTTAACGAAAGCATCGCTTACTTCTTGTGATTGGGCACTTCGCACAAGTTATGCGACCCCTAGGCCAGGATTGGCTCCCGCCACAAGTGAGGCCTGAATAACTTCCACCAGTTTATTTATACATCCCTCAAGCGCTGAAAGCAAGCATCCAGATTGCAAACTAACCATGAGGCCACAGTCCTTTTTCACACAATGTGAAGCCCGAATGGCCCCCTAACCTCACGAACTAGGCATCTGCCATGGCCACACAGACACTGTACCGTTTCCTTCAGAACGAAGATAAGCCATTCAAGGACGTGGCTAGCATCGGGCTCTACATGCCGTATCAATCACCCAAAGCTGGGGCGGCCGTAGCATGAGGACGTGTGCACAAGTTCCAACTTATACCGACCGCAATCTAAGCAATACACTGGACACAACCTTAGCACTAGACGTAACGCAACCTAAGCATGCATGGGATTGCCGTACCGACTGCCCTCCCTGTCCGTACAACCGTTCCAGTTCACCGCACGACCTCGCTGGGGATACAATACATCCCTCAAGCGCAAAAAACAGGCATCCATATCGCAAGCTAACCATAACGCCGCAGTTCATTTTCAGGCAATATGAGGCCCAAAGGGCCCCCTAACCCACACAAACTAGGCATCAGCCATGGCCACACAGGCACTGCACCGTTTCCTTCAGAAGATAAGCCCTGCATGGACGCGGCTAGCATTGAGCTCTACATGCCAGGATTCAAAGAGGGGCGGACGTAGCATGACACTGCCTGCAACGATGACTAATAATGAACGCAACCTAAGCATTACACTGGACACAACCTTAGCACTAGACGTGACGCAACTGAAGCATAGCGTGACACCGTCTGCAACGACAACTAATAACGAACGCAACCTAAGCATTACAGCCCTTAATCGCCAAAAGCAGGCATCCATTTCGCAAGCTAACCATGACGCCGCAGTTCTTTTTCAGGCAATATGAGGCCCAAAGGGCCCCCTAACCCCACAAACTAGGCATCTGCCATGGCCACACAGGCACTGCACCGTTTCCTTCAGAAGATAAGCCCTGCATGGACGCGGCTAGCATTGAGCTCTACATGCCTACAATGCCAGGATTCAAAGCAGGGGCGGACGTAGCATGACACTGCCTGCAACGATGACTAATAATGAACGCAACCTAAGCATTACACTGGACACAACCTTAGCACTAGACGTGACGCAACTGAAGCATAGCGTGACACCGTCTGCAACGACAACTAATAACGAACGCAACCTAAGCATTACAGCCCTTAATCGCCAAAAGCAGGCATCCATTTCGCAAGCTAACCATGACGCCGCAGTTCTTTTTCAGGCAATATGAGGCCCGAAGGGCCCCCTAACCCCACAAACTAGGCGTCTGCCATGGCCACACAGGCACTGCACCGTTTCCTTCAGAAGATAAGCCCTGCATGGACGCGGCTAGCATTGAGCTCTACATGCCAGGATTCAAAGAGGGGCGGACGTAGCATGACACTGCCTGCAACGATGACTAATAATGAACGCGACCTAAGCATTACACTGGACACAACCTTAGCACTAGACGTGACGCAACTGAAGCATAGCGTGACACCGTCTGCACCGACAACTAATAACGAACGCAACCTAAGCATTACAGCCCTTAATCGCCAAAAGCAGGCATCCATTTCGCAAGCTAACCATGACGCCGCAGTTCTTTTTCAGGCAATATGAGGCCCAAAGGGCCCCCTAACCCCACAAACTAGGCATCTGCCATGGCCACACAGGCACTGCACCGTTTCCTTCAGAAGATAAGCCCTGCATGGACGCGGCTAGCATTGAGCTCTACATGCCTACAATGCCAGGATTCAAAGCAGGGGTGGACGTAGCATGACACTGCCTGCAACGATGACTAATAATGAACGCAACCTAAGCATTACACTGGACACAACCTTAGCACTAGACGTGACGCAACTGAAGCATAGCGTGACACCGTCTGCAACGACAACTAATAACGAACGCAACCTAAGCATTACAGCCCTTAATCGCCAAAAGCAGGCATCCATTTCGCAAGCTAACCATGACGCCGCAGTTCTTTTTCAGGCAATATGAGGCCCGAAGGGCCCCCTAACCCCACAAACTAGGCGTCTGCCATGGCCACACAGGCACTGCACCGTTTCCTTCAGAAGATAAGCCCTGCATGGACGCGGCTAGCATTGAGCTCTACATGCCAGGATTCAAAGAGGGGCGGACGTAGCATGACACTGCCTGCAACGATGACTAATAATGAACGCGACCTAAGCATTACACTGGACACAACCTTAGCACTAGACGTGACGCAACTGAAGCATAGCGTGACACCGTCTGCAACGACAACTAATAACGAACGCAACCTAAGCATTACAGCCCTTAATCGCCAAAAGCAGGCATCCATTTCGCAAGCTAACCATGACGCCGCAGTTCTTTTTCAGGCAATATGAGGCCCAAAGGGCCCCCTAACCCCACAAACTAGGCATCTGCCATGGCCACACAGGCACTGCACCGTTTCCTTCAGAAGATAAGCCCTGCATGGACGCGGCTAGCATTGAGCTCTACATGCCTACAATGCCAGGATTCAAAGCAGGGGTGGACGTAGCATGACACTGCCTGCAACGATGACTAATAATGAACGCAACCTAAGCATTACACTGGACACAACCTTAGCACTAGACGTGACGCAACTGAAGCATAGCGTGACACCGTCTGCAACGACAACTAATAACGAACGCAACCTAAGCATTACAGCCCTTAATCGCCAAAAGCAGGCATCCATTTCGCAAGCTAACCATGACGCCGCAGTTCTTTTTCAGGCAATATGAGGCCCAAAGGGCCCCCTAACCCCACAAACTAGGCATCTGCCATGGCCACACAGGCACTGCACTGTTTCCTTCAGAAGATAAGCCCTGCATGGACGCGGCTAGCATTGGCCTCTACATGCCTACAATGCCAGGATTCAAAGCAGGGGCGGCCGTAGCATGACACAGTCTGCAACGATGACTAATAACGAACGCAACCTAAGCAGCCCTCAATCGCCAAAAGCAGGCATTGGGCTCAGACGTGCCATACGCAACCTACAAGTGTTTCCATTCAGTCCAAAGCACTAAACTGCTGAGAGGATAGAGTCCAGTCTTCCAGCGCTAAAGCCTTGACCGCATGCAAATCTAGTTGGCTGCCGCAAAAGCGCTCATGGGCTTCAATGGCTGCCATCCCGCAACACGCATGAAAGAGAAATCTTTCGACAGCACACACATGGCGCCTGCACGAGACGGGTGCGGCAGCACATGCACCTCTACCGGGGCAACATCAACAGCAAAGTAATACCGCGTTGGTGCTGCGTCATTTGAGGCGACACGGCCGTGAACTAGGGGTACATTCATGCCAGGGTCGACGATCTGATCACCAGACCCAGTGACCATAGGCTCGTGCCACTCCACCTCGAGAATGGTGTCATAGACTGTAGCTTCGGGGGATAGCGGTGACGTGTACCGGAATATGTTCCTCACACGGCCTGCCCACATGTGCTGGCTTGCCTTGCATGCACGGGTGATAAACCAGCTGTCTGCCGATAGCTCCACCTTGCCGTTTAAGGAAATACGTGACAGGCGCTCCACGAAGGACCCTTCAAGACACAGGCTGTACTTTTCACGCCATTCCGAAGCCTCCTCGGCCTTGTCAAGCGGGGGCCACAGGTCATATAGGGGCCAGAGCTCCCGTAAACACCGAGCCGCAAAGCCCTGCATGCGTAGAAGGGCAGGCGTTGCCTCCAAATGCTGAAAACGGGCCATGAGACGATGGCGACAGGGAGGCAAACCAGGAAAGAAACATGCACGAACATGGGGCCTCTCAAACCCTATAATCACACTCATAAGTAAATCCTGACAACCTGCTCACGGTTAAGGGCAAGCAGGCTACACCCAGATGTATGCAGCTAAAGCACATGTGCGTTTCCATCTTCCTCCTTCACCACCCCGCAGTCTTACCAGGTTCCGGAATGCCAGCTTGCCATCCCGGCTCTTTTGGAGGACTTCAGTCCGCCGCTTTAGCCTGGTCCCTTGGAGCTGCACCAAGACGGGTTCGGACATGCAGGTATTGTCCGACCGCCATTGGTCCCAAAGCCACTGTAGGAACAGCGCGAACATTGCCTCATAAAGCGTATCACGCTCAATGTACGCAAGGTGGAGCTCGTACAGCTCCTGAGCTGAGAGCTGGCCGGTAACGAGACCAGTTGTGGCACTGGGAAATGGGTACGTCTGCACCTCAGGGCAATCCTCGTTATCTACCGTCCAGTAGACGCGCTGCTGTTGGTGCATAGAGCCCTCTACCACGTCAGGATCAAAACGTGGTAAGAAGTCACGGTAAGCAAGCTGCTCCATAACACTGCCATCAAGTAAGAGGGCAGCCTCCATGTGGCACCAGCTGAACATAGCTGATGTTTCGGGGGTGTCACGCTTCTTCATTAGCATGTTGACATAACGCCACAGTGCTTCGTACCCCCACATTGCTGTCGTATAGGCCGGCCCTAGGTCAAGAATGCGTTCAGCAAGGTGGATAAGGTTGTGAAGCTTAATATCTAGCTCGCAGCATGGCAGGTTCAGCTCTACCAAGCAGAGAGCCCGAACAACAGCAGACCGAATTTCGGGAACCAGGGAGGCTTGTACAGCATCCTCGCAAAGGAAGGATATGACGCATAGAAGCTGCTGAATGGTCTGGCGTTGCACTGGCTGTATTCCGCTGACCTCCATCAAATAGGTGCCGTACGGGCTGGCCCAGAAGCAATAAGTTGCCATTTTGGTTTTCTTGCTCCCCTTGAACATGGCCCGAAGCCTCACACCGCCACCTTTGCGAGCGGGAAGAAGCTTAGACAGCTCATCTGCAAAGTCAGCCATGGCCTCGTGACCATCGCGGCTCACACGCCATGGGTAATGGCCCTCCCCCCACTGACGCCGGCGATTGACCTTGACTTCCCACCTGCAGTTGGGCGCGGAGAGCCTCAGCAAGCTAAGTCTAGCAGAGTGTATTAGACAGCAGGGGTCATCCTTAGGTTCCCGTGTCTGTTATCTCATGTCCTAAATGACACCCATTCTTCACGGACCCTCATTTCGTCCATACCCGTTACCATGCCAACTCACTCGCGGATGCTAACCGAGACACGAGAACTTGTCAGCACCAAGTCGAAGATGTCCTTGATGACACCGGCGCAAGTATGCATAGGGTCGTAGTGCAGGCCATGCTTGGTTTGGAAGCCGGGAACCTTCAGCAAGGGGCAGTGGTGGTCCGCCGGGCACACCTGCGTGCCAGAACAAACGTTGTGTATGCCGAGCCGAGCCCATATTCCGACACTGCCAAGCAGAAGCCACCTCTACTATTGTTAACCATTACTTCAAGCCCTACTCACCAGCTCTACGCCATCACCTGCTGGCTCCTGCAAAATAAAGAAGCCAATGGTCATAATACAAGCAACTCTGCTGTGCTAGGTACTTTGCAGTCGTACCTCAATGCGTGCAAGGAGATGTTGCTGCGTGCGTGGCAAGGGCTCCCCCTCCCCAGCTGCGCGGTTAGATTCTGAGGTGGCACCAGTGTTAAGTTTAGCAAGGGCACTACGTAGCTTATCATCGGCACCCAGGAAACAAAAGGTACCGCCGTACAGATTCTTGTGCGTGCACTTCACAGCAGGGAGCCAGCACTTGTAGCAGCCGTACTGAGCTGTAGGGGCCCCTTTAATACGGAGCATCTCCTCCAAGCCTCGGTAGTCTGACCCAACAACCACCAAGTACGCACGAACAAGCAGGTCCTGCTTGGTGTGTGCATCGTACACCGACACTCCGTGGTAGGCCAGGCTGGTCATTTCATCCGCGACCAGCTGCAGATATGAGTCCAGGTGAATCCGGGCCGTCTTCTCGCGGGTGCCATGAACAATGCCAGCAATGGTGGTGATGCCGGGATGATAGCTGGTTAGGAAAGGAGGCAGAAAGGTTGGGTCAGTGGTTGTGGTGTTGGAAGGTGGAGGATGGAAGGAGTGGGCAGAGGCGGGTGGAGGAGGGTATGCAAGGCGGCGGGCGGGCTGTAGGGGCAGTTAAGGCTATGGGCGACGACGGGGATATGGTGTAAGAAGGATGTAAGAGGAACAACGGTGAATTCCCAATGGCCACACCCATACGCTAATCAGCAGGTGGGAATCCAATCACTCCACCTACCGGACATCTGGACTGCAATTGTAAGGCGTGAACGCAAGGGGATGTACAGAGTACTTGTGGTCCTCCTTGAAGGGCTGAACCCCGTCGCAGAAGAATCCAAACAAGACGTCAGTGGCTGCCAGGGGCACACCGGTAGGCGTGGAGTTCCGCGCTACAGAGTACACAGCCCCATCAAGCAGGTCGCAAATATAGCCCTCCTTAACACCACGCTCCTTAGCAGTCTTTGCGTGATAACGGAAGGCCTTCGCGTAGTGCTCACATGCGTAAATTCTCCTAATGTAGTCATGAAGAGGCCTGCAAACAGGGCCAACGCCATGGGCAGGTCAGTTACAGAGGTTGTCACGTCGCAATGTCATGCTGTCTGGCAGCCGGGCTCTACGCAACCCCAGGGCGCACTACAGGCAGCTAGCAATTTAGTTGGCAGTTGGACTGCTGCCGCGAACATAGCACTAGAGGTGTGGCGAGCAAGCGGCAGACCCATATGGCGATGGCTGACGTCAACGATGAAACCATGCGAACTAGTTTATAAACCCATTGGATAGCCCCCAACCGTAATGGTCATCCATACCTGTACACGAAAACCTTCGTGTTATGCTTGCGTTCACATGAGCAGTTAAGGCAAACACGGCTTGCATGCTGAGGGCCCCGGTAGAGGTGCCCACACTTGATGCAGTAGTCGTAGTCAACAACGCGGCATTCAATTAGCAACCCCCTATCCTCTAGGAACGTAAGGATGTGACGAAAGGTTTCAGGCCTTTCACCAGGTGGGATGTCATCATACTGCCCATTCTTGTACAAGAGAAGTGTAAGATGGGCTGCGGCTGTCTGGGTCGACTGGTTGCGAACACGCCAGATAAGAATGTCGAGTAGGTCATACGCAAGCCTATCATATGCACGATTCTGCTGTTTCCAATTCACACCCGGCCTGGTCATACGCTCAAAGCAACGGTGCTGCCGGCCACCATCCCCTTCCCCAGGGACATAGCTAGGCGGGCCGCCAAAGTCACTCCCAAGGGCATCAGCAGTGCCTCCAGCCATGTCATCTTCGTGGGGAAGGTCTGGAGGGCTGGGTGCTGGTGGGAGAGGTGGCTGAAACACCAGGCTTGGGCTATTGTTAGTAAGTAGGCTAGGGCTAGCGTCCGGGCCACGGCTGGGTGAGGCAGCGGGTGCTACGTTCCCTTGGACTCCTGGGAGCATAGGTGATGTTGACGGCGAGCCCTCCTCGATATCTGCATTGGACAACGGGATGGGTGAGGCTTCTATAGCGCTCAACAAGGCGCGTCCACTGGTTTATGCAGCCCAAACCCCCATCATACACACCTTCCTGAGGTATGCCGCTATAAATCTTACACAGATTAATGTAATAATCCGCATCTCGTCCAGCAGACACGGGAAGCCATTTAAGTTTCCCCTCAAAAGTACCATTCTGTCTGGCGTGTGTTTGGGTGGTCCTATCCGTTAACTTCTTAGCTCGACCAAGCTCAACGGCACTGGCTACACAGCTACGGCATAGGCACCAGCGCTTAGCACCTTCGCCGACCATGCACGCGGTGCAGGCGATTAGGGCCACCAGTACAAAGGCGGCGCCAAGGCCGATTGGCCATGGCCGGGACCCGTGGGGCCCCTTTGTCGTGTGCAAGTCCTCTGTCATAAGGAGTACCTAAACATTGTATTCTTCTATATTACACGATCAAGTATTGCCCGAACTTAGGCAGGACTGGGCATGAAGAAAGCACTTGAAGAGTTCCCTTCAAGTGCTGTCCCTGGAGCCTCATCCATAGACTGATAGGCAAACGTTATCAGCTTACTCAGCAGCAGTAGGAAATAATTGTGGATTGCATTAAATGCAGGACACCGAAAGTGTATATGTGCTCTACTTATGCAGTCATAGCTTAATGCATGGAACGACGCGTCATATGTTCGCTCCTGAACGTTGCTATTCTCCTTTACATAGTTAACTTTGTGCATTCTCACTCTGATGCCACCGGGTGTGACGGTTTCCTCAATTTAAAATTGTTGGAGCGCGCACTCCATGCTTCCAGTTTAGTCAAAGCAAAGGAGATGAGGTCCACTGGCCACGGAAGAGGGGCTATCCAGGTGCTGGCACAGAATGACAGCATCCAGCCATACGTACCGCCGTTGGAGCTCCAGTTCTCTGAAACAGGGGAGCATCAGTCTAATCAGCAGGCCGTCCTAGGCCGCATAACAATTGCAAGCAAGGAGGCCATCCGATACGTTCTGTTAATGCGCAGCGCTAGTGTTGCTGAGGTTATGTGCGTGGATCTTGGGGTGAAGCCGCCTACAAGCAGTAGCATTCGGGTGCACCCAGAGGCAGGCCTAGTGTCAGTGCATTCAGTATGCGTAGACATGGGCCTGCCAAGGAGGCGGGCGTGGGCGCAGAGCCTCCGAGTTTTCAGCAAGGAGCAGGAGAAGTGGGTAGAAGTGAGGCGCCACGTGCCTGCTCACGACTTCCTGCGGTCCTGGACAGCTGCACGATTCCTACCTGCTCAGTTACCAGTTCCAGAGCAACGTGGTGCGTCGCTAGAGCATCAGCAAGGGCTAGAGGAGAATCTGGAGCCTCAGCAACAGCAGCTCCCGCCCTGTGCACCCAAAGTCTCTGCTGCATGCACAGGTAAGTCTAAGGACGAATGCCGGGTTAGGGCCGTGTGGACACGAACCATTCAACGTGCAAGCATGCATGTCGGCATTACAGTGATGTTCAAAAGTAAGGGAGCTGTATGACAAAGATTCACATGGGGCAGGGGGCGGGGGGAGGGGGGCTTGCGAGGGAGGAGTTGACGCAACGTGCGCCTGGTGGGAGGGCAGGGATGGGGGACGCCTCAGAGCAGGGCTTCTTAGGAGGGCCTAAGAACAAACCCCACCATTTTTTTTATTCCATACACCCCGTCCCGTTCCAACGAATGCCATCAGCTCCCTCAACACACCCCCTCCCTCTTCCCCTCCCTCTTCCCCTACCCGCTGCTCTCCACATCCATAATTTTCTTTGTCGTGCATCCAGTGCCAGGAGATATGACACTCAAGGAAAGCACCGAGGGTGCAATGGCAATTAATGCAGGCGGCGGAGGAGTGGAGGGGGATGGTAGAGCAGGTATGTAAGCAGATGGTGGTGCTGTAGCGCTATACCATAAAGCAAATATTGGCCTGGATTTCCTAAGCGACCCCCCTACCTCACCGCCCCTCCATTCTTGAACCTCCCATGCGTAACAGTGTAATAGTGTAGCGCCTTGCCATAAATAGTTGTTCCTCTTTCCCTCAACCCCTCTCCCGCTAACGTTGTCGTCCTACCCTGACGACCCTTTTTCCTTCCCGATGGCGTCAAAAGTAACCAATCGGCCGTACACGGAGGTAGACAACATCTGCGGGGCGTGGGAGGACAAGCTGGGTGGCGCATGTGGGCTGGAGGGCATGGGCGGGTCTATCACGAAGGCAGGAATTAAGCTTGCCTTTCAGAGCATGAGCACCTTCCTTCACATGGACAACTCCAGCGTTGTATTCGACTTGGGTGGCGCTATTGGCAGGTGTGTTAGTTGTACAGGGATACCTACCTCACATCAATGCGTTAGGTGTACTGAACCGCTTTCGACACACTTTGAATCCAGGATGCTCCCGTTTGCCAAGGTGGCTGCATGCGTGTCGTCGGCGTGGATGGCGGAGTGCGATGACAGCAAAATCCAAAAAGCGGTTGCATTCCTACCTCAGGTATACGGCGACCTAATAAAGAAAGGTGGGTACTTGTGGCTTCCTTGAGCCTCTTAGCTGAATAGTACGAACCGAAGCTATGAATTAGGCCAATTGTTCGGAGGTAGGAGACGGTGTCGATAGCCTTGGCATGCTTACTATGAGTGCCGCTTGCCGTGTGTGCCCTCCTCAGGCTTAGCGGCCCCTGTGGGTCAGCTGGACACTTTGATGGAGGTTATCCACCATGACATGACCCGTGAGGCTGGTGGATCTTGGGACCGGGTCCGTGCACGGCTTGCTGCGACCTCGCACATCTACAGCTTCTGTGAGGGCATTCCCCGCGAAGCATTGGCGGTTACAGGCCGCGCCGTCAAGGACAGCACTGCCTTTAAGGTAGGCGCCGTGATGCAAAATGTTAATTTAGCAGGCAACCCATTAAACTTGCACGGTTTGCCTGCAGGGCTGTGTCCTGGTCTGCTACCAGGCTAACTGGTCTCACAACTCCACTTTGCATGACACCCTTGGGCGCTCACCCCATCCCGAGGAGGTGATGGAGCTGGAGTGGGGCTTTGGCCCAATGGTGCTGTTATGCCGGCTGAATGCGCGGCAGGAACGTAGGTCATACGCGTAGCCAGATAGCTTGATGGTGACGGCGCCTGATAACGGTTTGCACGTACAGGTGGCAAGGCAACATACCCCATGTGGGTGTTCGCTAGGTACACGGGGGAGAGCAGCAAGCGGCCGCCCATGCTCCAAAATCTCAGCGATTATCCAGACTCCATTTCCAAAGCCCAGTGGTGGTGGCAGCGTCACACTGGTGCTGACTTGTCCGATTTCCTTACAGACACCAGCCTACAGCTGCGGTTGGCTGTAGTGCAGAACGAACGTCTAACAGTAGCTGACCTTCCAACTGCCCTCGCTGACCGCTATGCGTTTTATACAGCACAGTCCGTGCCCCCAGGGCTGCTAGAATGGGCGCTGGGGCTGTGCTTTGCTAACGATGCATCTTCTCTTTTAGACAATGGGGTGCCAGGGAGCACACCGAAAGCCCTTGGTCGAAGGGGAAAGCTGAGCCGCTCTCAAAGAGACACGGCTAGGGGCAGGGAAGCAAGTATGCGGAAGATGGTGGAGCAGAAACGTGGAGAGTTTAGCAATGTAAGTGGCGGGGGCTCATGCGTATTGCTAGGCTGCACGCCTTGTTGTCACGTTTTGTTTTTGTGCAGGCATCTGTCCAGTTCATCTTTATCGAGGACCGAGGGGCAAAAGTACCTGTAGCATATGCAGCTTACAGGTACGACGTTCCACCTTTCAGTCTAACGCTCAACAGCCTCCCATCATCCTACCGGGATTACCTCACACATGTCTATCTTTATAGCACCACACCCTTCTTGCCATGCGAATCCCTTAACCTCATTAGCAACACTTGGTACTGATGTTCCCAGGCCGGACCTTGATGACGCGAAGCTAGTGCTGCGCCTGTCTGAAGTACGTGTGGAAGAGCGGGCACAGCGTGACGGTATCGGCAGTGGCCTCGTCAGGGGCCTTGTACGCTTTGCGGAGCGGCTCCAACTTGCGGCGGTGGTCGTGACAGTAGCCGCTGACAATGCCGGGGGCAAGAGGTTCTTTGAAGCAATAGGATTTGTGACACACGAGGGAACCAGCAAGGCCACTAAGCGGGAGACCTGCTTGGTTCTCTCCATCCAACCACTTTCCTTCAATGTGAGAAAAAGAACTGTCGTATACGTAAGATATTTCGGATGTATGCCTAAATGCGGTGACTAACCCATGATCACTAAACCGTATTTACCTACATGTACGATCACCTTTGACCGCAAGACTTTGTTCCACCCGTCCTGATCCCTCAGCGTACAATGGAGCCCGTGCAGCGGTACAGCCTGGATGAGGTGCGCGAAATGGAGCGGGCCGCATCTCGGTTGCGGCCAGCGGCCGGCGCCGGTTGGATCAAGCTTGGAGCGGGCGGGTTTGGCTCGGTAACAGCTGGTGTTACAGCTTCCGCACGCAGGGTGGCCATCAAGCGGTTTACACTGGGCCCAAGCACCAGTACCGACGTCCTTCGTGCTATCCGGCAGAACATCACAGTGGGGATGACCTGCTGTTCTGAGAACCTGTTGCAGCTCGTAGGGATAGCCCATAGCCCGGCGGGATCGGTAACTGGTCTGGTCTGGGAGGAGGCGACCCATGGCAGCCTGGAACCGCCAGGACCCAACCTGCCACTCCAGCAGGTTGTCGGGCTGCTTGCTGACGCCGCCAATGGCGCTGCAGTGTTGCACGACGCAGGGCTGGTTCACAGGGATATCAAGCCTGCTAACATCCTGGTGAGCATGTCCTCTTGTTTGCTGATAGTAACCCTTAGAGCAAGGTGGAGGGATGTACAATGGGGTGGCGGCTGACAGTGAAAGAGCCCCCCTGGCTTCCACTTCCGAGCCCCCCTCTGGACCCCCCCCCTCCCACACCGCCGCCACCACCACCCAATTGGATCTTCGCTGCTTTTTTGCAGGTCACTGATCGTGGTCACGGCGTCGTCGGTTTACTAGCAGACTATGATGTGACCGTGGAGTCCGGCACGCGGTTTGGCTTGGTAAGTTGAACCACTGGAGTGCTTCAATGGGACTGAACTTAACGGAAACAATAGGTTTATCATACGGATAGAAGGTGAAACGGCTGTTCCCACGCGTTGCCATATTTCGTACGGTCAGCAATGCAAACTTTGTGACAGTGGTGTCATCAGTTATGGTTTCCTTTGGTTGTCACGTTGCAGGTGGGCACCCCTGGCTACCGGCCCCCAGAAGCCGAGGGTCAGCCCGACCCACAGGCTACCACCACCTACCACACCCTGGCGTTTGACGTATACAGCTTCGGAGCAACCTTAGCCACAGTCCTCTTCCGCACCAGTGCCGTGGGCCCTACCGTTTGCGCGGTACAGACTCAGCTGGTAGCCGAGTGCAGGTCCCTGGTGGAAGAAGTTCAGAATGCATGGGCTGAAGGCGCCGTGATGCCGTCATTTGAAGTGGTACGCAGACTTCTGGATCTGGCCGCCGCAGCCCTCGTCAAAACCCCTGGAGGTCGCTTGCAGCATGCATGCGGCCCCAACTCTAATAAAGCCGCGGGAGACTATATGCGTTTTATAGCGATACGGCTGCGGGAACTGGCATCCGGGTTAACTAGGTGATGGGGACTGATTGCGCAGTGCAGTAGATGCGGGGGGGAACAAGGAAAACTGACGAATTTGCGGGGGGGTTGTTGTTTGGAATGGTGGCAGTGGTGGTCTGTAGTATCCAGTTATGGTAGTTGGCATGCGTGTGCTCCTAGTTTACTACTGCCCCGTTGCTTTGTAGGGGCTGTATGAGGCGGCCACAACGGCCTGGCCGCCCACGTGTTCTACAACAGTTTGGTTATGGTAGTTGGCATGCGTGTGCTCCTAGTTTACTACTGCCCCGTTGCTTTGTAGGGGCTGTATGAGGGCGGCCACCACGGCCTGACTTCCGTCATGTCTAGGTCCCATACACAGGGCAAGAGAGGCACCGCTTGGCCACCCATGTGTTCTACGACAGTCTATTTGGTTATGGTAGTTGGCATGCGTGTGCTCCTAGTTTACTACTGCCCCGTTGCTTTGTAGGGGCTGTATGAGGCGGCCACAACGGCCTGGCCGCCCACGTGTTCTACAACAGTTTGGTTATGGTAGTTGGCATGCGTGTGCTCCTAGTTTACTACTGCCCCGTTGCTTTATTTGTAGGGGCTGTATGAGGCGGCCACCACGGCCTGACTTCCGTCATGTCTAGGTCCCATACACAGGGCAAGAGAGGCACCGCTTGGCCACCCATGTGTTCTACGACAGTCTATTTGGTTATGGTAGTTGGCATGCGTGTGCTCCTAGTTTACTACTGCCCCGTTGCTTTGTAGGGGCTGTATGAGGCGGCCACAACGGCCTGGCCGCCCATGTGTTCTACGACAGTTTGGTTACGGTAGTTGGCATGCGGGTGCTCCTAGTTTACTACTACCCCGTTGCTTTATTTGTAGGGGCTGTATGAGGCGGCCACAACGGCCTGGCCACCCACGTGTTCTACGACAGTTTGGTTATGGTAGTTGGCATGCGTGTGCTCCTAGTTTACTACTGCCCCGTTGCTTTGTAGGGGCTGTATGAGGGCGGCCACAACGGCCTGGCCACCCACGTGTTCTACGACAGTTTGGTTATGGTAGTTGGCATGCGTGTGCTCCTAGTTTACTACTGCCCCGTTGCTTTATTTGTAGGGGCTGTATGAGGGCGGCCACAACGGCCTGGCCACCCACGTGTTCTACAACAGTTTGGTTATGGTAGTTGGCATGCGTGTGCTCCTAGTTTACTACTGCCCCGTTGCTTTGTAGGACTGGCCACCCACGTGTTCTACAACAGTTTGGTTATGGTAGTTGGCATGCGTGTGCTCCTAGTTTACTACTGCCCCGTTGCTTTGTAGGGGCTGTATGAGGGCGGCCACAACGGCCTGGCCACCCATGTGTTCTACGACAGTTTGGTTATGGTAGTTGGCATGCGTGTGCTCCTAGTTTACTACTACCCCGTTGCTTTATTTGTAGGGGCTGTATGAGGCGGCCACAACGGCCTGACTGCCGTCATGTCGTGTTCTACGACAGTCTATTTGGTTATGGTAGTTGGCATGCGTGTGCTCCTAGTTTACTACTGCCCCGTTGCTTTGTAGGGGCTGTATGAGGCGGCCACAACGGCCTGGCCGCCCATGTGTTCTACGACAGTTTGGTTACGGTAGTTGGCATGCGGGTGCTCCTAGTTTACTACTACCCCGTTGCTTTATTTGTAGGGGCTGTATGAGGCGGCCACAACGGCCTGGCCACCCACGTGTTCTACGACAGTTTGGTTATGGTAGTTGGCATGCGTGTGCTCCTAGTTTACTACTGCCCCGTTGCTTTGTAGGGGCTGTATGAGGGCGGCCACAACGGCCTGGCCACCCACGTGTTCTACGACAGTTTGGTTATGGTAGTTGGCATGCGTGTGCTCCTAGTTTACTACTGCCCCGTTGCTTTATTTGTAGGGGCTGTATGAGGGCGGCCACAACGGCCTGACTTCCGTCATGTCTAGGTCCCATACACAGGGCATGAGAGGCACCGCTTGGCCACCAATGTGTTCTACGACAGTCTATTTGGTTATGGTAGTTGGCATGCGTGTGCTCCTAGTTTACTACTGCCCCGTTGCTTTGTAGGGGCTGTATGAGGCGGCCACAACGGCCTGGCCGCCCATGTGTTCTACGACAGTTTGGTTACGGTAGTTGGCATGCGGGTGCTCCTAGTTTACTACTACCCCGTTGCTTTATTTGTAGGGGCTGTATGAGGCGGCCACAACGGCCTGGCCACCCACGTGTTCTACGACAGTTTGGTTATGGTAGTTGGCATGCGTGTGCTCCTAGTTTACTACTGCCCCGTTGCTTTGTAGGGGCTGTATGAGGGCGGCCACAACGGCCTGGCCACCCACGTGTTCAACGACAGTTTGGTTATGGTAGTTGGCATGCGTGTGCTCCTAGTTTACTACTGCCCCGTTGCTTTATTTGTAGGGGCTGTATGAGGGCGGCCACAACGGCCTGGCCACCCACGTGTTCTACAACAGTTTGGTTATGGTAGTTGGCATGCGTGTGCTCCTAGTTTACTACTGCCCCGTTGCTTTGTAGGACTGGCCACCCACGTGTTCTACAACAGTTTGGTTATGGTAGTTGGCATGCGTGTGCTCCTAGTTTACTACTGCCCCGTTGCTTTGTAGGGGCTGTATGAGGGCGGCCACAACGGCCTGGCCACCCATGTGTTCTACGACAGTTTGGTTATGGTAGTTGGCATGCGTGTGCTCCTAGTTTACTACTACCCCGTTGCTTTATTTGTAGGGGCTGTATGAGGCGGCCACAACGGCCTGACTGCCGTCATGTCGTGTTCTACGACAGTCTATTTGGTTATGGTAGTTGGCATGCGTGTGCTCCTAGTTTACTACTGCCCCGTTGCTTTGTAGGGGCTGTATGAGGCGGCCACAACGGCCTGGCCGCCCATGTGTTCTACGACAGTTTGGTTACGGTAGTTGGCATGCGGGTGCTCCTAGTTTACTACTACCCCGTTGCTTTATTTGTAGGGGCTGTATGAGGCGGCCACAACGGCCTGGCCACCCACGTGTTCTACGACAGTTTGGTTATGGTAGTTGGCATGCGTGTGCTCCTAGTTTACTACTGCCCCGTTGCTTTGTAGGGGCTGTATGAGGGCGGCCACAACGGCCTGGCCACCCACGTGTTCTACGACAGTTTGGTTATGGTAGTTTGCATGCGTGTGCTCCTAGTTTACTACTGCCCCGTTGCTTTATTTGTAGGGGCTGTATGAGGGCGGCCACAACGGCCTGGCCACCCACGTGTTCTACAACAGTTTGGTTATGGTAGTTGGCATGCGTGTGCTCCTAGTTTACTACTGCCCCGTTGCTTTGTAGGGGCTGTATGAGGGCGGCCACAACGGCCTGGCCACCCATGTGTTCTACGACAGTTTGGTTATGGTAGTTGGCATGCGTGTGCTCCTAGTTTACTACTACCCCGTTGCTTTATTTGTAGGGGCTGTATGAGGCGGCCACAACGGCCTGACTGCCGTCATGTCTATCTAGGTCCCACATACAGGGCAAGCGAGGCACAGCTTGTCCAGCCATGTACGGCTAGCAAAGGGAGCGACTGTGCCTGATTGGCATCCAGTAAACATGCATTGGTTCTGGATGTGACCCTTAGGTCCCATACACAGGGCAAGCGAGGCACCGCTTGGCCACCCACGTGTTCTACGACAGTTTATTTGGTTATGGTAGTTGGCATGCTTTGTATGTGACCTCTAGGTACAGGTGCAACTTCGTGCGCTTAAGCCGCATTAATCCGGTAGAGGCACAAATGTTACATTGGATTATGCGGTTGGATCAATGATAAATCCGATGTAATCCGTTTGTATCCGCATGCACGCGCCTTAACCTGCCTAACAGGCTTATCCCGGATTAAAACGGATTAAGACGGATTAAGTTGATCCGTAGGCCGGATTAACCCATAGGGGCCGTTGGTAGGGCTATGCGCATTTCGTTCCATTGTTATTTCCTGGCCAAGCAAGCAAGGCCCCATGCTGATCTGAAAGTCAGCACCCAGACACTTTGTGAATTTTGCCAAAAGCTTAGTTACGTGATAATCAAGAACTCGCTATATATAGGCTTTCCAGGGGGCGCCTGTGTGAACATGCCCAGTCAAACCTTTCACCCGCTTCATGTTGCATTCCAGCCACCAACGTATGGCTGGACACTGGCCGAGTTGCAACCCATTATCATAGCTTGCCTTATGCCTACCCATGGATAGGCAAAAGCAGGGCTTCATCCACTACGCTGTCATATTGGCATGTGCCCATGTCAGTTGATCCAGGCAACACCAGCAGAAATCGGAGTGCTAAGGAAAGATCCCAGCAGGCAAAACCTGCACTAGGTGCACATAGTCCAATTAAAGCCCAACCCGCTCACTACTGGGCCTGCAAGTTACTGGACTGTATGTTGGCAACAGGCTGTAAGGAGCTGGGAAATACGTCTTTTGGTGCTGAAATAAAATCCAAACATGTAGTTGTAAAACCTTTATGCACAAGCACGAGCCTTAAGTATCATATACAGTGGCACTTATTTAGGCGTGAGCTTGCATTTGGAGTGCTCTCTCCCTTCTTGTTGCGTTGTGCTTGCCTTTCACCTTGGCTGCTTCGTCATTTTCTGACTGGTTACCGCCCGCTGCTAAAGTGTAGCCAACACTAGGTTAGTTATCAGTGGCCCCTGCCATGTAGGGCATGGGTGTGTTACATATATGTATTCTATTCCTGCATACCCTCAGACTAAAACATACTGACAAGCACATGTTGTAAAGTTTGGCTGACCAATATTAGAGTCCTTAGAAGGCCTATTGTGGCCGCTGGCGGCAGCAGCAGCACTTCTCACTGTAGGTGAACATGATCACTTGAAAACACGTGAGCTCCAAAACAGTGATGCAAGGGAAGCATGAGGCTATCAGCTCGTTAAAGCCGGACAGGACCATAGCACCTGAAGTGGTTTATATATATGGTTGGATGGTACCAGAGGCTGTTGTGAGATGTGGGGCGGAGAGGTGCCTGGCGCTGTGTAAGAGGTGGCCACTGTGTGTCCTGGTTAGTTTGCATACACCCTCCAACACGGTACATCACACCCATCTGCAGACTGCCAGTTTTTCCGCCCCCATCTAGCGTGGCACTCCCAGAGAGGCTCTTAGTTGAGGTGGTGCTCAAACGCTTGAGTTTGATTGAGTTGAGTTGAGTCTACTTGAGCTTGGTTGAGGCTGCTCTCAAGTGGTTGAGTTACCATACTCTCAAGGAACCTCAACCAGAAAAAAGCCCCGCCCGGTGTAATTTGCTTCGTTGAGTATGTAAGACCTATTGAGCACGCATTGCCTCAATCACCTCGCTCTCCCAACACCTCGACTACTTCTTACAAGGCATTCCAACACTAGGAAACGAATTGCGATGAGTTAACTGTTATACGTTAAGAAGCGTGTGTGATGTCGAACACCAAGCCACCATGGCCGCGTCTGCTTTGCGACGGGCTCGCTGTTCAGCATGCAGATGGCTCATTCTCGTGTACTCAATGCAATAAAGTATTTCACAGCAAGCATCTTTACAAGCACAAGTGTTCCCTAGTCCACGTGCCGCTGGAGCCGTCATGTGTGGACAGCGACCTAACATGCAACACAGATTATGCTTCCTGCTTGGATTTACTAGGCGATGCAGTCGCAGATAAGCTTCTTGCATACCAACGTGACCTGGCGCAACGCTCAGTCCCGATGATGGCGCGCACCAAAGACCTCAGGGCCGTGCTCATACAGCTGCGCATACCATTTGCCGATGCTGTTTTCCCACAAGGTGAAACGACTAATACATCCGCTCTGTTACTCTTTACAGTTTTGCGCCGTGCTTCAACTCCATTCCTTATGTGTTTCCACAGGCCAACCCTCCCCGCCGCCTGCTGCTGACAACTCGCCTCTTCCTAACAGCCCCATGCTAGTGGAGACACGCTCCCCGCAGTCCCAGCCTTCACCGATGGACGTCAACAGCCCAGAGGTAGAAATGCGCTCTCCCGCTAGCGACCCATCCAGCAGTGCGTCCCCCAACGTCTCATCCACGTCTAATAACGGAAGCGAGGCCGAAAGCAGTGGTTATGACGACCACGGTGAGTGCGACTGGTACTGTACATGTCTTCCTTGCAACTCGGGCACCTTTATTTCCCATGCATGCATCATGTCCCTTGCGAACTCCTGCCCTTACCGTTCGAAACTGCTGTGGCAATGCACCATAGGACCTAACCTCCCCTTACCGTATGTGCCCTCCAACAGGGGCAAGCCATTCTACTGTTAGCGACAGCGTTGACGGGGATGGCAGCGAGGATGGCTTGCATGGCCGCAGCAGTCCCGGTAGCATGCAAGGAGGTAAAGAACAGTCAGTGCGGTTTTGAACTAGGACGTGTCTCGTCTCCATGCTCGTAGAATCTCATGGCATTGTCGTACTTAGCAGGAGCTAGCCATTCCACGGGTACCAGCGGCGGCAGCGGCAGCAGAGGTGGCGACAGTGGGCCGGACTCACTCCATGACGACAGCTTGCTTGGCGGTGCCAGCGATGGTGGGGATGGCAGTGATGGCCGCAGCGACCATGCACTGCTAGCATGCTGGATGGTAAGTGGTCATACTCCGGTGCCTGTCGGGTTCATCCTCTTTACGTGTTCAACGTAACCCGTGTTTCCTACATGTCCAGAGGATGACCCGAACACGCTGCCTGGAGAAGACCTCCTCGACCAAACCGGAACTGACGACGACGGTAGGAAACCAATACCCATCGCATCCGCACCTCCATGCCTATGTACGCCATGAAGCCGTACTCTCAAACAGCCGTTCTCCTGTGACCGCAAGTTACTGACACCTAATTCTCACACACATTAACACGTCGCAGGTCTTTCTTCCGTCAGCAACCAGTCGGACCACCTCAACCTGCCAGGCGAGGTCGACCCTTACACGTACATTCGCAGTAAGTTCACGTGCAAACTATGTGTCAGGGGGCATTGCAACCGTTCTAGTCCAAGTCGAATTGCTCAGTGTCGTACTTATTTTCCAAGCCCTTGCCTGCGTGTACCCAATTCCGTCCTAAGCAACCTGTTCCCACGACCGCAGGGATTCTGGGTCTTGACCATGCGCCGGAGGCGGGGGCTGGCATTGAAACCCACCCCGCGGCTGCAGCCACTGGAGGGGACCGCTGTGCGGGTGGTTGCAGCGGCCCACCAATTAAGCCAGGCGGCATCAGCTGGTTCCGCCACGGCCTCGGTCTCCCCGTTTGCAAGGTTGTCGATAGAGATGGTGCGCTGAACCCTAGTTCTGTAACTACCCGCGAGTTCGTCGCGGCTCTCCTGCAATTCCATATGCGGAACCACATTCCCACAACGGTCATGGAGACCTTGCTACGCTTGTTTGCTAGCGTGGTCCCCGGTCCGCACTTCATTCCTCCTTCACTGTACATGCTGTCACAGCTCGCCGGTGTCCCTGACTGGCACCAGTTCCAGCCACCTCTGCTCGACCGAGGGTTGCCCTGGCCATGTATTTGAGCCAGAGCCAGATCCCGCCAAGTGGGAGCAGCTACGTGACGAGTGCTGCCCACACTGCCAGACACCGCGCTTCAAGTCCGTTTACCTTGGAGGTGAGCATAGTTTGGCTGTTTCAGACTCGTATACTGATCTCCAGCACCAGCAGGCCTCTTGCCCCCTGCTTCGTACCCTGCTGTTTGCTCACCGGGAACTATGGCGAACCCGTGCCTGCTTACCTACTGCAGGCAAGGAGCGTCTTGAACCCCGGCGGTGGTCCATCGACTTCGGCCTGGAAAATGTTATCCGCGAGCAGTTTTTCCAGTCCGAGCTGTACAACCAGCAGCGCGGGCGATGCCGGGATTGCGGAGAGGACAGCGATGGCAGCAGCTACTACAACGGTCAGTCCCTAAGCGACTCCAATGCATTGTATGCATCGGTGCCTTCAACCCTACCCTAGGCTTAGCTCGCATGAATCGTAACATGCACGCAATGCTACATGCATGCAACACTACATGCGCCACTGCCCTTGTCGTTGCGCCTAGTTGTGACGCAGCTGTGTCCCTCGGTGCTGTATCCCCACCCTTTACAGCTCCGGCCTTTCGTAAACTGGCTCTCGCCACCGACCACGAGGCCCAGAAGGCGACGGCCTCGACCTATGACCTGTTCTTCGACTTCCTAGAGCCCTTTAAGGGGAGTCCTTACTCGGTCGGAGTGCTTGCGGTTCGTGCGTGTGATGTGGCTGCCAGGGACAAGGGGAAGTCGCAGTTTGTAGCCATATTATCCATCATACCCGGCCCCAGGCAGCCTCCCGTACTCACTCCCTACCTCACTCCCACAATAGACGCGTTCCGCCATCTATTGACAAACGGGATGGGCGTCACGCAGTCCTGGTGAGACAAGCTCAGCGGTAATGTCGTCAGCGAGTCATTCGTACACAGGGGCTTTCTATCCGCCGTACTGGCCGACACACCCGCGCGCATCAAGTGCGCCCTTCTCGCGGGTGTCGGTTCCTACATAGGCGCGTGTAGCTACTGCTTCTTCCAGGGCACGTATGTCCGCAAGCCCGGTGCCAAGGTCGGGGCCATGCGCTACCTTGGTTACGAGCAGCCCGTGCCGCAAACAATCAGGTACGCCGGCGGGGGTCTAGCACGCAGTAGGTGTGTCCTCTGCTTCGTTGCTTGCTCTATTGACATGTCCCGTAGATTGCCATCATTTGGAACAATTTAATGACCCATGGGTCCATGCCGTTTCGGTTTTGGCCTCTATTAGGTTTGGCGGGGAGCCGATGCTGGTAGGGGACCATCGCCTCCTGCTAGACGACGCAGGACAGCGGCAGCGTGCTCGGCGTGTGGCGGCCCGCGCCTCAGCGGCTCTGGCTGCCCGTGGTACTCCCGAGGCCGGTCCTTTGCGCAAGAAGCTCGAGCTTTCCATCAAGCACCATGGCTGCAAGGGGGAGTCTGCCTTCACTTCCCTTCCGTATGTCAACATGCAGGACCTGTTCCTTGTGCCCGTCGCCCATGCCCTTCTCTATGGCGTTGTGGCTAACTTCTTCGATGATATCTTCCGGAAGCCAGCTAAGGATGAGGAGAAGGAATTCACAGTGGCAGAGCGTGACATCCGCGCCATCAGGGAGAGATCGTCGCACATCACGGTATCCTCCGACTTCGGTCGCGCATACCGTTGTATCATAGTGCACAGGTCAGAATCACAGGCATTAGTGGAAGTGTATACTTTGTTTAGTAGTGCCGACACGGGCAAAGGTTGCGCGCCTTGAAATTTGGTGGACCTAGCGTGCAGCTGTAATAAGCATGTGCTGTAGTCATTAGCCATCTCCTATCTACACGACTACGTGTACGACATCCCCGTGGTGCCTGTGTTTGTATCCGCATTGCAGGGGCGGGTACCTGCTGGAGGACTGGCTGCATTTCTGCGAAACCTTTTCGCATTACATCTTCCGGGATGTAACGCGGAATGGGATCAAGTCACCTGTTCTGCCGCCGCCAGTCCGGGAGATGTGGCAGCATCTGCAGGCTGCAGTTGGCCACTACTTCAGGCCGCTGCACTACAAGACCCGTGCCGACTTTGTTGCCGCCTCCAGGGCGGCGCACGAGAGCCTCGTCCAGTTTGCCAAACTCGCGGAGAGGCGTGGCTTCCCCGGTCACACCTTCTCGGTTAACCTGCACATATGCATCTGCAGGTACGAAGTTGGTGGTAGGCACTACTCGTGGCGGTGTAACTTGCATTTAGCTCTATGTCCATTCTCGTGGCTGTTGTGCGGAGGTTCTTTTTGCGCCATTAGTAACGGCCCTTATCAATGGTGTCCGTTCATTTGCAGGCTGCGCCTACAGGAGAAACAGCGTGGGGCGGTTGCCGTGGACTTGGAGTTTGCAGTGGAGCGTGTGATGCAGCGCTTCAAGCGCATTGCGGGGTCTCATGTATCAGCACGGATAGAAGCTCATTTCGCCAAGCAGCTGCTGCTTGGGCTTGCCCTCGACCGTGTAGCGCGCGAGAACCCCAGCATGCGTACCTTGGACGACATCCTAGGTATCCAGGAGCGCAAGTACAGTGGGCCGCATTACGACAGCGACGATGGATCTGGGGTCCTCCTGCGCGGAGCAGGTATCCCGGTGTCAGGGCTGCGCCCCTTGGAAGCCGAGGAGATAGCAGAAGCAGTAGGCGAAGCGGCGAATTTTGAGCTCGATGCTGATCTGCAGCAGTGGGTAGCTGCGGAGAGGCAGCGTGGCCGGGGGGCTGTGCGTCGACTGGACAAGCCATCACTGCTGGCCGCGCTTAGCAGCAAGGAGCCAGCGGCTCTGGTGTTTACTAGAGCAGAGGTCAACGAGGAGAGCCTGTTTAGTGCATGGTACGGAAGGGCGCGGACACGGGTGTCCAACAACGTGCTTGTAGTCTGGGAGGAGGGGGGTGTTGAGGTGCCTTACATTGCTGAGATCAAGTACTTTGTCAAGTTACCATGTGGGGTGCGCGCTGCGGGTCGCGAAGTGCAGCGCCCCGTGAGATTGGCCATAGCGTCTCTCAAGCGCGCTCGCTTGGAGGACGGTTGCTATGTTACCCAGCAGGGCGAGGCAGGCTATTTACGCTTTGCCATTCCCACCTCGGCCCTTGCCGCAAAGCTCGAGAAGGTCATAGTCGCACGGTCGCCGTCGGAGCCTGGCATTTCTTGCTATATGACATACCTGCATATGACGTGCAGGTGAGCGTAGGTAGGGAGGTGCCGCTGTGACCAGGGCGTGCGAGCAGGGGGAGCGGGGTGTGCGTGAACCGCTGTCTTGCATACTTTACCGCATGGGCGGTTAGCTTTGCGTGCGTGTACGGCGCCACGGCTGTATTAGGGGGGGAGGTGCCGCTGTGCATGCGCATGTGCATGTGAGACCAGGGCATGCGAGCAGGGGGAGCGGGGTGTGCGTGAACCGCTGTCTTGCATACTTTACTGCATGGGCGGTTAGCTTTGCGTGCGTGTACGGCGCCGCGGCTGTATTAGGGGGGGAGGTGCCGCTGTGCATGCGCATGTGCATGTGAGACCAGGGCATGCGAGCAGGGGGAGCGGGGTGTGCGTGAACCGCTGTCTTGCATACTTTACCGCATGGGCGGTTAGCTTTGCGTGCGTGTACGGCGCCGCGGCTATCAAAACGCTGATTGGATGATACATGTAAGTATGACTTTCAAAGCTTCTAAAGTTCTCTTGACCATGGCCAGTACTTCCGACAACACAAGTGCTACTAGACTATGTGCCACCCATCAATCTGCGTTACAACCCGAACCAGCGCGACCAGGACGAAATACTTCTTTTCGTCGAAACCAGCTTGCAAATTGCGCCGAAAGACCTTTGCCGATGCCAGGCAAATTGTGCCGAAATCTAAAAAGCTTTCACGGCGATCTCCCCTGACAGCAATCGCCGATCAGCAATCGCCGATCAACCAGTTTTCGGCGATCAGTAATCGGCGCTTTCAATGGGCTTTCCTTGGCATATTCTGAGCCATGCTTGTGTGTTTAAGAAAGCGTAGGCACATGAGCCACAAACACACAGTTTAGTTTCTGGGAAGCAAGTCCGGTCGCCCAAAGCCAAATGTCATAAATTTCCTCATATACAGAACCTGCTTAGTTACTATGAGCATTTCGTTCCATTGTTATTTCCTGGCCAAGCAAGCAAGGCCCCATGCTGATCTGAAAGTCAGCACCCAGACACTTTGTGGATTTTGCCAAAAGCTTAGTTACGTGATAATCAAGAACTCGCTATATATAGGCTTTCCAGGGGGCGCCTGTGTGAACATGCCCAGTCAAACCTTTCACCAGCTTCATGTTGCATTCCAGCCACCAACGTATGGCTGGACACTGGCCAAGTTGCAACCCATTATCATAGCTTGCCTTATGCCTACCCATGGATAGGCAAAAGCAGGGCTTCATCCACTACGCTGTCATATTGGCATGTGCCCATGTCAGTTGATCCAGGCAACACCAGAAATCGGAGTGCTAAGGAAAGATCCCAGCAGGCAAAACCTGCACTAGGTGCACATAGTCCAATTAAAGCCCAACCCGCTCACTACTGGGCCTGCAAGTTACTGGACTGTATGTTGGCAACAGGCTGTAAGGAGCTGGGAAATACGTCTTTTGGTGCTGAAATAAAATCCAAACATGTAGTTGTAAAACCCTTATGCACAAGCACGAGCCTTAAGTATCATATACAGTGGCACTTATTTAGGCGTGAGCTTGCATTTGGAGTGCTCTCTCCCTTCTTGTTGCTTTGTGCTTGCCTTTCACCTTGGCTGCTTCGTCATTTTATGACTGGTTACCGCCCGCTGCTAAAGTGTAGCCAACACTAGGTTAGTTATCAGTGGCCCCTGCCATGTAGGGCATGGGTGTGTTACATATATGTATTCTATTCCTGCATACCCTCAGACTAAAACATACTGACAAGCACATGTTGTAAAGTTTGGCTGACCAATATTAGAGTCCTTAGAAGGCCTATTGTGACCGCTGGCAGCAGCAGCAGCACTTCTCACTGTAGGTGAACATGATCACTTGAAAACACGTGAGCTCCAAAACAGTGATGCAAGGGAAGCATGAGGCTATCAGCTCGTTAAAGCCGGACAGGACCATAGCACCTGAAGTGGTTTATATATATGGTTGGGTGGTACCAGAGGCTGTTGTGAGATGTGGGGCGGAGAGGTGCCTGGCGCTGTGTAAGAGGTGGCCACTGTGTGTCCTGGTTAGTTTGCATACACCCTCCAACACGGTACATCACACCCATCTGCAGACTGTTTTCCGCCCCCATCTAGCGTGGCCCTCCTACAAAGGATAAAAGGCAGATGGTGACTTTTGTGCATGCAGAGCAAGAGCCTTAGAATTGGAATTGGGAAAAGCGTTTCAATAACAATGTCAAAAAGCGCACCCGATGCGATTCGAACGCACGCAGGGAAACCCTACGGCCTTAGCAGGGCCGCGCCTTAACCACTCGGCCACAGGTGCATAAGAGACGCTCCCGGACGGGTTCGAACCTTCGACCTTGCGGTGGGCTGTTATGGAGAGATAACAGCCGCACGCTCTACCGACTGAGCTACAGGAGCATTGAGTGCATCGATCCTACCAGGGATCGAACCTGGAATCTCCGGTTCCGTAGACCGGCGCTTTATCCATTAAGAGGACCTTTGCTGATATCCATTGAGTAAGTCAATCTCTATATTAAATGCATAAGCCTGCCGTACAATCGCGAACCCCCCTCTTCTAGCGGGATTCGTACCGCTTAAGGCCTTGGGGGGAGTTTGCGGATATGCGCACTGTCAGCATGCTGTCCAGACGTTGGAGGAAAGCTTAGCAACATAGCGCCGCGTCGTGGTCGCCGCGGCCGGGGGTACCGTAAATCCTGATTGGTGATGCGCGCCGGCATGATTTCGGCAGATTGCGGACCTGACGTCGGTGAGCTGTCGAGTGTTGCAAGCTTGCTCATGTCGCTGACGAGCACACCGTGGGCGAACCTAACGTTGGCATGCCAGTCATGTTCATTAACATTGACCGACGAGCATGGTGGGCGGACCTAACGCTGGCGCGCCGACCAGTGTTATGAGCTTCCTCATGTCGCAGACAAGCATGGTCGGCGGACCTGATGTCAGCGTGCGGCTCATATTCGAAAGCATTAGTCGTAAGCCATTTGTCGTAAGGCACATAGGTCGCCTCTCGCCGACGATCAGGGTCGGTGGACCTGATGTCGGTGCAGTGACAAATGTTGTGAGCTTGCTACACTCGCTGACAGGCGGGTTCGGCGGACCCAACATTGGCATGCCAGTTTTGTTTGTAAGCATTGGTTGTAAGGCATCTGTCGCAAGGCATAGGTCGCCTCTCGCTGAAGGGCAGGATTACTTTCTTACGTAAAGTAACCGAGAAACTGCGAATGGCTCGTTAACTCAGTTATAGTTAAGTCGACATCACAGTGCAGACGAGCAGCGAGAGGAAGTCGGTGGGATGTGACTCCAGTTCGTTACGGGGGACGAAACCTAAAAAGACAGCATTGCAAATTGCGCCAAGAGGCTTTTGTCGATGCCGTGTCCGTCGCCGAAACCTAAGAAGCTTTCACGGCCACCACCCCTGACAGCATTCGCCGATCAGTGATCGCTGATGAACCATTGTTTTCGGCGATCAGTAATCGGCGCTTTTCAGCAGACGCACCGACTTCACGACTACGCTTCTCGCTGAAACCAGCTTGCAAATTGCGCCGAAAGACTTTTGCTGATGCCGTGTCCGTCTCCGAAACCTAAGAAGCTTTCACGGCCACCACCCCTGACAGCATTCGCCGATCAGTGATCGCCAATGAATTGCTTCTTACGAAATGATACTGATGATCTAATGTTTTGATACTCCAATATACTATGCTGCCAAAGACAGCCTACAGACCAAGAAACGACCGCCCGAAGCGCAAGTCTCACTGGGATTATCAACCAAAGCAATAGCCATGATGATTGTTCATGCTGTATTCTACACTTTTATCGCATATTACACAGTTAAAGAGATCTGAAAAGCTGAATTCGCTCGCCGGGCAGGCTTGGCCGTACATGTCCGAGCAGTCCCAGGCGACCGGTCCATACGTTTCAGAAAGGAGAACGTTCACGCCAAGTCATGACATGATAGACCCGCGGGTCGCTTACCTGACCCGCAGGTCAGTGATCGCCGAATCAACCATAGTTTTCGGCGATCAGTAATCGGCGCTTTTCAGGAAATGCGCCGACTTAACGAACGTGCTTGTCGCCGAAACCAGCTTGCAAATTGCGCCGAAAGACTTTTGCCGATGCCAGGCTAGCCATAATTGCGCCGAAATCTAAGAAGCTTTCACGGCGACCACCCCCGACAGCATTCGCCGATCAGCGATCGCCGATCAACCATAGTTTTCGGCGATCAGTAATCGGCGCTTTTCAGGAGACGCGCCGTCTTCACAAGCACGCTTCTTGCCGAAACCAGCTTGCAACTTGCGCCGATTTACTTTTGCCGAAGCCATATCCGTCGCCAAAACAGTTTTACGCCGATTTCTGAAAGTAACCAAGAAACTGTGAATGGCTCATTAAATCAGTTATAGCTTAATTGACATTACAATGCAAGACATCACAACAAGGAGACCGGCGACACACAGTGTTCGAACCCATGCCGTACCGTGTCACTGTACAACAGGGGTGTTCAGAGGAGCTGGAGCGAGGAAGGGGTGGTGAGGGGAGTGGGGAGTATGGAGGGGGTGGTCACGGTCACCAAACAGTTTTACGCTGATTTTGGAAAGTAACCAAGAAACTGCGAATGGCTCATTAACTTAGGTATAGCTTAGTCGACATCACAATGCAAGATATTGCAACAAGAAGATTGGTGATACGTGGTGCCCGAAGCCATGCTGTACCGTGTCGCTGTACGACAGGGGTGATCAAAGGAGCCAGAGCGACGAGGGGGTGGTGAGGGGAGTGGGGAGCATGGAGGGGGGTGGTCACGGTCACCAAACAGTTTTATGCTGATTTTGGAAAGTAACCAAGAAACTGCGAATGGCTCATTAATTCAGTTATAGCTTAGTCGAGATCACAATGCAAGATATTGCAACAAGAAGATTGGTGGTACGCGGTGCCCGAAGCCATGCCGTACCATGTCGCTGTACGACAGGGGTGGTCAGAGGAGCTAGAGCGGCGAGGGGGTGGTGAGGGGAGTGGGGAGGATGGAGGGGGGTGGGAGGGCGTGTCGAAACCCATACCGTACTGCGTTGCCGTACACCTCATGGTGATGCAGGGGCGTTCAGAGGTGCTGGAGGGACGAGGGGGTGGTGAGGGGAGTGGGGAGCATGAAGGGGGGTGGGAGGGCGTGTCGAAACCCATGCCGTACTGTGTTGCCGTACGACACCACATCTCAGGACACCATCCTGATGATGCCAGGCATGATGAGTGATGAGGGGGTGATGAGGGGAGTGGGGAGCACGGAGGGGGGTGGGAGGGCGTGTCAAAACCCATGCCGTACAGATGCCGTACAAGTGTACGACAGTTGTCGTACGCTGTCGTACACTGCCGTACAGCTGTCGTACATGTCGTACACCACATGATGTGTCACCACACAGCATGGCAACTGTGCCGTACAGTTTGCTGCCGTACAGTGTGTTGTCGTACTCGAGATCTCCCAGAA